AAATTTACATCATAACTTTATCATATATTTAAAAGTAACAGCAAGTTGTACAAAATAGATTTGCAGTTTCATGTGCAATCTTTTATTATTATTATACTATGTTATGGAAATGCTTGATTTATTCCATATATTAAAAATGAAATAAATAAAAATGAAAAAAAAAAAGAAAGTATAGTCCAGGGAATTTCTTCCAAAGAACATAAAATGTGTGTTCTCTTAGCCCCAAACATCATGAGAATCAAGAGGAGTTTGGAACAACTAACATTGAAAATCTCCTCTTCCCCAAATGAAGCCTCCATTCTAAACATGGCAGTCTCTTTAATGTTCCCACACATGTTGTTTGTACTTCAAATTTTTTTTTGTCCTTCATTTTTTTTGCTTTTTTTTTTTTTGGTGAGGCAATTGGGGTTAAGTGACTTGCCCAGGGTTGCACAGCTAGTCAATGTCAAGTGTCTGAGGCTGAATTTGAACTCAGGTCCTCCTGACTCCAAGGCCAGAGCTCTATCCGCTGTGCCACCTAGCTGCCCAATGTCCTTCATTTTTGAAGAGGACTAATGATATCACAGGATGATGTCTAGACTCCTGCATGAATCTGACTAAAGTGAGGCAGAGTTGTACAAAGTTGTCAGCCTCACTCTCTCTTTCCAAGTTATCAAAGTCCAGTGGTGCAGATTGTAGTGGATGACTTTGGCATCTTTGATGTCTGACTAAGCTCTTAGCACTCCAAAGCACCTACTTCAGCCACCTTCATGGCCATTGTAACAAATTGTTCTCATTCGTCCATTCCTATAGGAGAAGTCTTCACATACTTGGTGCAGACACAACCCTAATTCACAACAGATTTGAGGCCCTCAGTTACCCTCAATCTGTTTTAGCCCATCTGCTGAGATGGTTTACTGGGACATGGCTACTGTGTGTGCTAAGCTTTTTGGAGTCACAGGTGAGAGTTGGGTGAATCAGGTAGACACCAAAAGTGAATGAAGAGCCTTGAAAAGGGCTCAGCAAGCCCTCCCACCATAGGTGCTTTGAACACCCCATACACCCTTCCTATATATGCCACGTTTGTAACGACTAGGGTGGTCAGTCTGAGGGTTGGGGAAGACCACAGGTAGCAAGTACCCAGCCTATACTACAGCCCCCACAACAGCATGTTAACATTGCAATGTTCACCTGATGGTTCTCTCAGATAGTGGTTCTAAGACGCGGTCACACTAGGACACAGGCTTTAGTGTGAGAGAACCATCTAAGCTCATGCTGAAGGTCAGACAACTGCTGTCCAGAGGTGTCTGGAAGATACAGCTAGGTCCCGATTATGGGCGATAATGAATTCCCTAAAGTAGTAGCATTATCTGAACTCAGGCTACATATTTCCATTGGGCTGAAAACAATGACCACAGTTTACATAATTCAATTTATGTAATTCAAATAGTGTGAATTGGATACATGCAACCATTTCAAGGGATTCATTATTCTGCTAATCAGGACCTAGTTGGACTTTCAGACCTAGGTAAGAAAGGGGTCAAAGCCAGAAAGTCAGTAAGTATAAGAAGAGAAAAATAGGTATTATTAAGTCTAGGGGAGAAATGGAGATGTGCTACAGAAGCAAGAACAGAGAGCATCCTGTTAAAAAAAAAAGGGGGGGTGGGGAGGGCAGGGAGAGGTTGAGATCACTGATTCTAGGGCAGACAAATTTTGCTCTCAGCCCAGACTTCATCCTTTCTATGGAGTATGAGTGACTCTGGGTTGCCTGGGATTCATTGTAGTCAGAAGTTCAGAAAAGGGCAAATGAATCCAGCTCCCGAACGAAACTGTGGTTATTCCGTATACACTTGCGAAATGTGAGATTTTGACTAAAGTAGCAGTAAGCAACTTGAGGAGCTATCTGTCTTTTTGCTTTCATTTCTTTTTCCAATGTTTAGCACAGTACCTGGAACACAGTAGGTGCTTAATAAATACTTCCTTCCCTCCCTTTTTCATGTCCTTGCTCCCTCCCCCTTTCCTTCCTCCCTTACTCTTTCCTTTCCTCTTTCCCTCCCTTCTTTCCTTCTTTCCTCCTTCTCTCCATCTTTTCCTTCCTCTCTCCCTTCCTCCCTCCCTCTGTTCCTTCTTCCCTCCCTCTCTCCTTCCTTTCTTTCCTTCCTTTCTTTCCTTCCTTTCTTTCCTTCCTTCCTTCCTTTCCTTCCTTCCTTCTTTCCTTCCTTCCTCCCTCCCTCCCTCTCTCTCTCTCTTTCTCTCTTTCTTTCTTTCCTTCTTCCTTCCTTCCTTCCTTCCTTCCTTCCTTCCTTCCTTCCTTCCTTCCTTCCCTCCCTCCTTCCTTCCTTCCTTCCTTCCTTCCTCCCTCCCTCCCTCTCTCTCTCTCTTTCTCTCTTTCTCTCTTTCCTTCTTCCTTCCTTCCCTCCTTCCTTCCTTCCTTCCTTCCTTCCTTCCTTCCTTCCTTCCTTCCTTCCTTCCTTTCCTTCCTTCCTTCCTTCCTTCCTTCCTTCCTTCCTTCCTTCCCTCCTTCCCTCCTTCCCTCCTTCCCTCCTTCCCTCCTTCCCTCCTTCCCTCCTTCCCTCCTTCCTTCCTTCCTTCCTTCCTTCCTTCCTTCCTTCCTTCCTTTCCTTCCTTCCTTCCTTCCTTCCTTTCCTTCCTTCCTTCCTTCCTTCCTCCTTCCTTCCTTCCTTCCTTCCTTCCTTCCTTCCTTCCTTCCTTCCTTCCTTCCTTCCTTCCTTCCTTCCTTCCTTCCTTCCTTCCTTCCTTCCTTCCTTCCTTCCTATAGTAATAAAAAAAAATCACTTTGAGTACATGCAGTAGTAGTTGCTGCTACATTGCTAGTAGTCACAGTTGTAATATTTACAAGAGAAAGAGTTCCAGTACTTTAAATAGTGGTGGTATTTAAAGTATAATTCCTGGCAGTGACTGTAGTTTCACGAATAGGAATATCTCTAGGGCCAAGAGCCATGATTATACTTGCAATGGTAATATTTCTAGAGTCTGGCATAGCAATATTTGCATTTCTAGTCATCATATTTGTCACAGTAGTATTTATAATAGTAAGATTGTACTATAATATTTAAGGTTCCCAGAATAGCAGCTTGTGGACTCTTTTGGTGTAGGTGTAGTAGTAGTAGTAGTAGTAGTAGTAGTAGTAGTAGTAGTAGTAGTAGTAGTAGTAGTATAAGCTGAAGTATAGATTTTTAAAGTTTACAAAGCACTTTACAAATATTGTCTCATATTATTCTTGCAAAACTCCTTATCTTTCATCTTCATTTCGCAGATGGGGAAATTGAAATAGGCAGACTTGCCCAGGTTCACACAGCTTATAAGTATAACCCCAGACTTCCTCTTTCCAGGTCCAGTGCCATATCCACTTTGCCACCTATCTGCCTCAGTTATGCTTAGAGTATCTGTAATAGTAGTTTGGGAATATGTGATAGAAATACAAGATGTCCCAAAAGTCTTAGTGCACATTTATGCTTTAATATCATAAAAACTAAGACTTTTGGGACATCATGTATATTCAATATTGTTAGTAGTAGTTTTGATTTCTATGCTGTTTGCGAATGGGGAGGGGAGGGGAGAGGAGTAAGGGTAGGAGTTGTTCCATTTTCCTGTAGAGTAGTAAGTAAATTACTAGCAGTAGCATTAATGGTATGTATAATAGTTTAGACAAGGATAGAAGCAGTAATCATTGTGCTACTTGTATTTGAAGACTCTGTAGTAGAAACGTCAATGTGATACAACTCAAGGAACTTTGGAGTAAGCAGATATTTGCCCCTAGCACTTAGCATAGGGCCTGGCATATCTATAATAGGAGCTTAATAAATACCTGTTGGTGATTAATTGATTGACCTACATTCAGATCCTACACCTAATGCTTACTGCCTGCATGACCTGGGCCTCAGTTTCCTCATCTGTAAAATGAGGGGTTTGGACCAGGAAGGTTCTGAGGCACCTTGAGCTTAACATCTATGATCTTATGTTCTTATGATCCTAAGTAGTCATAGTACCTGTGATGGGAATAGTAACCATATTTATACTAGCCATATTTAGGGAGCTTGTGAGTCTTTTCAATGGCTGCTACAAGTACCACTCCTCAAGTAGTGCCTATGGCTGTTGTTCTTTGTCCTTTGTTTCCGAAAAGGACCAATGACATCATGGTCCTCGTACATGAATTGTACATGAATTGGATTTAAGTGAGGCAGAGTTGTTAGCCTCACTCTCTCTTCCAGAGTCATCAAAGTCCAGTGGCAAGACAAAAGTCAAGATGAGTGACCATTGCCTAGGATACACTGTATGATCTTGGCACCTTAGAGAAAGTTTGACCAAGCTCCAGCCAGTTTCATGTCCCATTGGAACAAATTGTTCTCATCTGGCCATTCTGTTTGGAGCAGTCATTACAGTACAGGAACACCTCATTTTATCATACTTCCCTTTATTGCACTTAATAGCATTTTTTTCCTTTTCTTTTCTTTTCTTTTTTTTTTTTTTACAAATTGAGGGCTTGTGGTCACGCTACATTGAGCAAATCTGTTGGATCAATTTTTCCAACAGCATGTGTTCACATCATGTCTCTGTGTCACATTTTGGTAATTCTCACAATATTTCAAACATTTTTATTATTATTATTGTATCTATTATGGTGATCTATGATCAGTGATCTTTGATGTTATCCTTGTAATTGTTTTGGGGCTCCACAAAAGATAGTGAACTTAATTGATAAATGTTGTGTGTGTTCTGACTGCTCAAGCAATCCCTCCCCCTTTGGGTGTCCCTATTCCTGAGACACAACGATAATGAAGTTAGACTAATTAATAACCCTACAATTGCCTTTAAGAGTTTAAGTGAAAGGAAAATTCAATCAATGTGCCAAACTTCATTATTGTCTTATTTAAGAAACTGCCACAGCCACCCCAGCTTTCAGCAACTACCACCCTCATCAGTCAACAGCCATCAGCATCAAGGTAAAATCCCCCAAAAGCAAAAAGATTAGAACTCACTGCAGGCTCAGGTGATGGTTAGCATTTTATCAATAAAGTGTTAACGTAAGGTATGTACATTATTTTTTTAGATATAATACTATTGCGCACTTAATACACTACAGCATAGTGTAAAGGTAACTTTTATATACACTAAGGAACCACAGTATCCATGTGACTTGCTTTGTTGTGATATTCCCTTTATTGTGGTGGTCTGGGACCAAACCCAAATCCAAGATATGCCTATATTTGTCATGGCGATATCTGTGGTGTCAAGATATGGGAGGGCTCACGATATTCGTTGTAGTATTTGTACAAGCTGTGGTATCACTCAGAGCAGTTGAATCTGTGGTACCTATCGTTGTAACGTGAGTAGAGTTTACTGTAGTTGTTTTTAAAGTAGCTACTATATTTGTTACTGCATTTCTTTGAGTTTTGCCCACGATTCCAGGAATATCTGTGTAAGCAGGGGCATGTGTGATGTGAGGGCTTATGTTCTCTGTAGGGGTATTGGTAACAGAAGCGTACGTGGCATTTAGAGTATCAAGAGTAGTATCTGGAGGACTGACGCTTGTCATAGCTGGAACACCAGTAGTAGTCGTCTTCACTGTCATTGTCATCATTGTCCTTGTTATCCTAGCAGTGTCAGCAGCAGTGGTGTTAGGAAATGTAGCTGTAGTATAATAAGTAGTATTCTCCGTGGCAAATGACATACTTGTTGGAAAGGGATTTGTTGTAGTATGATGACCAGTATTACCAGTGCTAGTGCTGATACTAGCACTTCTGGTTGTAACTGGATCAGCAGGAAAACCAGCGCTGGTACTAGTGGTGATGGTGTTAGGAACTGTGCTTTCAGGGTAATGCGTAATTATCTCAGCAGATGAAATACTTGCTGCAAAGGTGCTTGAGGAAGTAGCAACATGACTGGTAGTAGTAGCAGCAGCACTAGCGGGAGGAATGGCACTGGTACTACTAGTAGTAGTGTTGAGAATTGTGTCTACAGTGTAATGAGTGATGACGTCAGTGGTGGATGAAATGTTTGTTGGAAAGGTGCTTGGAGTAGTCATACTGCTGGTACTAGTACCACCAATACTATTAGTACTAGCAGTACTAATACTGGTACTGCTCATGGTAACTGCACTAGCGGGAGGAATGGCGCTGGTACTACTAGTAGTAGTGTTGAGAATTGTGTCTACAGTGTAATGAGTGATGACGTCAGTGGTGGATGAAATGTTTGTTGGAAAGGTGCTTGGAGTAGTCATACTGCTGGTACTAGTACCACCAATACTATTAGTACTAGCAGTACTAATACTGGTACTGCTCATGGTAACTGCACTAGCGGGAGGAATAGCGCTGGTACTACTAGTAGTAGTGTTGAGAATTGTGTCTACAGTGTAATGAGTGATGACGTCAGTGGTGGATGAAATGTTTGTTGGAAAGGTGCTTGGAGTAGTCATACTGCTGGTACTAGTACCACCAATACTATTAGTACTAGCAGTACTAATACCGGTACTGCTCATGGTAACTGCACTAGTGGGAGGAATAGCGCTGGTACTACTAGTAGTAGTGTTGAGAATTGTGTCTACAGTGTAATGAGTGATGACATCAGTGGTGGATGAAATGTTTGTTGGAAAGGTGCTTGGAGTAGTCATACTGCTGGTACTAGTACCACCAATACTATTAGTACTAGCAGTACTAATACTGGTACTGCTCATGGTAACTGCACTAGTGGGAGGAATAGCGCTGGTACTACTAGTAGTAGTGTTGAGAATTGTGTCTACAGTGTAATGAGTGATGACGTCAGTGGTGGATGAAATGTTTGTTGGAAAGGTGCTTGGAGTAGTCATACTGCTAGTACTAGTATCACCTATAGTATTAGTAGTAGCAGTACTAATACTGGTACTGCTCATGGTAACTGCACTAGCGGGAGGAATGGCACTGGTACTACTAGTAGTAGTGTTGAGAATTGTGTCATCAGTGGTGGATGAAATACTTGTTGGGAAAGTGATTGGAATTGCAGCAGTATTAGTAGTAACAGCAACAGTATTAACAGAAGGAGCAGCACTGGTACTAATATCCACGGTGTTTGAAATTGCTTCTGGTGTGTAAGGAGTGGTAGATGAAATACTTGTTGGGAAAATTTCTGCTGTGCCAGGAGAAATAGGGCCTGCAGTATTATTGGCAAGTGGTGTACTAGGATTAGTAAATAGATTGGGGCTTCTGGTAGAAGTAGTCAGAGAAAAATCAGTAGTACTTGTTGCAGTGGTTCTTGGGGTAGTAGTCACACTACCACTACCCATCCATGTAACCTGAGTTAGTTTTTCCAGACTGATCATCTTATCAGTCAACTGAATAGTTAGTATCTGCAAAGAAAAGAAAGAAGATGTTGTCAATGTCTTTTTTATCATTTATGATACAGCAAAGAGAACTCAAATCTAATTCCCAATTCTATCCTGCAAATCACCCACAAAGTTGTCAAACTGAACTGATCTGACACGTATCTTACAATATGGCACATACTGTTCACACACACACACACACACACACACACACACACACACACACACATTCAATAAACTCCAATGGCTCCCTATTACCTCTAGCATCAAATTAATCCTCTGTATACCTTTCATAACCTGAAGCCTTCTTACCTTTCCAGTCATCTTACACCTTCCTCATTTCCACGTATTTTGCTCTCCAGTGGCTTTGGACTCTTTGCTGTTTCTCATACATGACACTTATCTCCTGACTAAGAATTTTCACTGGCTATTCCTCTTGCCTGGAACTCTCCCTTTTCTCTTCTTCTTCCTGGCTTCCTTCAAATCTCAACTAAAGCCTTACCTTCTGCAAAAAGCATTCTCCAATCCTCTGAAGTTATCTCCAATTTATCCTGTTTATAATTTATTGGTAGGTAGTTATTTGCATGTTGTCTCCCCCATTAGATTGTGAGCTCCTTGAAATCAGAGGGTTTTTTAACCTTTCTTTGTATCCTCATCACTTAGCACAATGCCTGCCACATAATAGAAGCTTAATAAATGCTTATTGACTACTGATAGGTAAGAGGAGAAACAGGAAAAACCAATGTCATAGAAGCCAAGGGAGGAGATTTCGCTAACGAAGAGAAGATGGTCCGCAAGATCAAAAGCTGATATTATTAGAACCTAGGTCTTATCTTCTTGTCCAGTACAGACTCTAAACTCCCAGTGCCGTTTCTTAACAATAGACCCTCTCTCAGCTGGGGCCACAGTGTAGACTCAATCAACCAACAAGATTTCCACCAGTGTACCTTCCTGATTTAGAGGATGACAACTGAAGGTAGTGTCTAGAGACCCTAATAATATCTTGTGGAGGTGAGGGGGGGAATGGGACAGAAATAGAACTAAGTTCATGTGTAATGTAAGATGAATTAAAAGGAAAGAAATGCTGTTAAATGCTGGTATATTTTTTTAAGATACTGTGGCAAACATGTCATCCAATGGAATTTACTTCATTATATTTTAGTCTTCAAGCAGATTTTAAAATAATTTTAAAAGTAAATTAAATTTTAATTTAAAAAATAACACATACAACTGTCAGAAAATTCAGGGTTATTTGATCAATCATAAAGTATTTATTAAGCCCTTCCAAGGCTCCAAATAAATAATAAAAATGGATGGGTTTGGATTTATTCTTTTTCTAAGTTAATCATTAAAGAATTATTTTAAAGAGTGAGCTTCCTATAGCAAGGAGTTCTCAAAATTTTTGGTCTAAAAAACTCATTTAGCAGGTTGAAAATTCCATGAACTATTTATCCTGCTGGGGGGGGGTAGGAAAGGGAGCATGGTGCTAGAAGGAGAAAAGCCTTTACTATACCAACAGTGATAGTGGTCATAACTGAAGTAAGGATTCATTCACAAAGTTATCTCTATACATTGCCATAAATAGGCAGGCCCCCAACTACACAGAGGTTGTGCTCCAAAAGTTCATCTCTGAGGCAAATGTTTGTAATTTAGAATTTCTTTTTTTCTTTCTTAGAAATAATGTCATAAGGAATGGTTATGTCCCAAGGCCACTCCCATACAGCCTATTTAGCCTTTAAGGTATATTAACATGAATATGACTGACATTTCAACTGTTCACACAATTTAACAGGATCGATTCAACAAACATTTTGTGGTATCTATATGTGCATTACACCATTCTATGCTATAGTTTTTCAACTATGCTCTTTGTAACAATTCTCCCATGGGATAAAGTGTTCTTAATTTTATTATTTTTTTTTTTTGCTTTTAGGCAATTGGGGTTAAGTGACTTGCCCAGGGTCACACAGCTAGTAAGTGTCAAGTGGTTGGTCTGAGGCTGGATTTGAACTCAGGTCCTCCTGACTTCAGGGCCAGTGCTCTATCCACTGCACTACCTAGCTGCCCCTCTTAATTTTAACTTAGAACAAAGAATACATTTGCTGCCACTCAGCAGGAGGAATAGGGACCACCTTTTTGTAGAGCATGGCTCTCGCAAAGGTGGAGTGAGTGGGAGAGCTACTTGAGAGCAGGGATTGTCTTTTGCCTCTTTTTGTATCTTCAGCATATAGTAGGTGCTTAATAAATGTGATTGATTGATTGATTGAGAGCTACTTTAGATGTTCTTGAGAACTAGTAACTTGATAACTCCCTACATTAGAATAAGAAAAAGTTTTCTGCATATCTCCATGAAAAGATAATGACTTACATTTTATATAGCTTTATAAGCTTTAAAATATGATTATGTCAAAATTCTATGAAGTAAATAATGAAATTATCATCTCTATTCTTGCTGTTTGTCCTTTGTTTTCAAAGAGGACCAATGACATCATGAGGTGAGTGATGTCTGGACTTGTGCATGAATTGGATTGAAGTGACTCAGAGTTGAGCAAAGTCATCAGCCTAACTCTCTCTTCTAAGGTCATCAAAGTCCAGTGGCAGATAAAAATCAGGATTACTGGTAATGGCCCAGAATGTAGCAGATGAACTTGGCATCTTTAATGCCTGACCAAGCTCTAAGTGCTGTACAGAGCCTGCTTCAGCTACTTTCATGGCAGTTGGAACAAATTGTTCTCATTCACCCATTCTGATGAAAGAAGTCTTCACATGTTTGGGATAGACATTCCCCTAACTCCCCTAACAGGTTTGAAGCCTGTTAGTTACCCTCAGTCTGGTTTAACCTATCTGCCAAGATGGTTTCACCAGGGTATGGCCTCTGCTCATGCTACAGATTCTTGCAGCCACAGGTGAGAGTTGGGAGACAGGTGGACATCAAAGTTGGATGAGCAGCCCTGAAAAGGTCTCAGTAAGCCCTCACATCAGAGATGCTAGTCCTCCCTGCACACCCCATACACCCCTACCTCCATTTTACAGGTGAGAGAAATGAGGTTCAGTAAATTAAATGACTTGAGTAGTCATAGAACTGGCAAGGATGCATACTCATGTTTTCAAACTCTTTAATTAAGTACCATTTCCATTATGCCACATTGCCTCTTATATAGAGAACTTGTTTCATTCTGTTTTTCCTGGGATGGGAGGCAGGGCAGGAAGCAGGGCAAGCCTGAACCTGTGAGTAACTCCCAGTGTGGAAACTTCTCCATTGATGCAAATCAATAATTCCTCTATAATTTATAAATTTTAGAAAGCTGCTGCCTAGTTGTTGAGTGAAGTAATTTGCCCCATGGCCACTTAGCTAGTGTATCAGAGGACAGACTTGAATGAAAAATTCTAACTCCAAAATTACCCATTTATCCACTAGGTTAAGCTGTCTTTTATAAAGATGATGTCTCTCTACATCTGCATAAGAGGTAAGCTTCTGGCCCAATCGGTCACTAGGTGTGACATATCAGAAATACCTGATGTTCACCTGACGGGCAAGGAATATAGATGAGGACTTTCCTTCACCACCAATTCATGTGTGAGGGAGGCTACACCAGTATTTCCCTCTCTCCTTCCTCGCCACCCTCCCTTCCACCCCTGACCCAGCTAATGTAGCAGTCATAAGTAGGAGTCATTTATAAATTGGCAATTGTCTCTGCTTCCAAAAAAACCAAAACAAAACCCACAGACCATTGGAAAACGATGTGACCTGTTGACAATCCATAGAAGAACATTGTAAAATATTATTTAATATATATGAATTTAATCTATTCACACCTTTTCAAGAACTCATCTAGCATGTAGAGCATAATATAAAAACAATTATAAATAGCTGTAACAAAAATAGTGTAATGACACAATTATTGAAGAATGGTAAAAATCCATCTCTGAAGATGCATTTACCTGATTTGCTGGGTCACTAATGAAACTGGTTTTCTCAGATGTCCCATTGTCATAAGTAATGTTGATCTGAGTTATGGTGCCATAATCTATTCCCCAAATTTCAATCTTTCCAACTTTCAGAGTATTCATTTCATTTAGGTATCCATTGTACACAATGTTGATGTTCAAGGTGTCCTATTAAGGAGAGAGAGAGAGAGAGAGAGAGAGAGAGAGAGAGAGAGAGAGAGAGAGAGAGAGAGAGAAGCATTCCATCTGTAAATCATTTGACTTTACTCAATTTTTCTGTGGGACAGATTGTCTTACAATAAACTCCTCATGTCTTTGTTATTCTAGGATATATATGAGGCAGCGAGGCAGCTCAGTGAATAAAGCACCTAGAGCCAGAAAGATATGAATTTAAGTCCTGCCTCAAACACTTGCTAGCTGCATAACCTTAGATAAGTCACTTAACCTCTGTCAGCTTCACTTAACTCAATTGTGAAATGGAGATAATGATAATAAGGTTACCCACCTCGAAGGATCATTGTCAGGATCAAATGAGATAATATTTAGCACAGTACCTGGCACATAGTAAGTTCTGTACAGATGTTTATTCTTTTCCTTTCCCTCTGTTAATTGAATATTCAACAAGTACATACGAAGTATTTGGTAAGCATAGAGCACAAAGGGAAATTGAAACACGACACGGTCTCTACCCTCATGGAGTTTCCAGTCTAGAGAGGAGGTAAGAGGTAAAGGTGTAAGTAGAACATACAGTGTTAATGTACTGTTTTACACAGGGTCCTTATACCAGCCCTGGGAGGTAGATGCTATTATGATCCCCATTTTACAGTTGAGGAAAGTGACGCAACCAGAGGTTGTGACTTGCCCAGAGTCACACAACTAGTAACAGCATGAGGCTGGATTTGAAGTCAGGTCTTCCCGACTCCAGGCCAAGTGTTCATCCACTTTGCTACCTACCTGTTGGGTAAACGGATGCAAAATGAAGTATGCAAAACCAATGAAATGATATGCACAAACTATAACAATATAAATTGGAAAAGTAACAACAACAACAACAGAACGGAAACAGGATGCTATGGAAGTATGAAGATTGAGCCTTACCCAAAGAAGACATGAGAAGACACACTCCCCACCCCACCACACAAGATACAACACACACACACACACACACACACACACACACACACACACACACTTTTTCATAGATAGGGGCTATGGATGTGGCACACTGCATATTATATGAGACTTTTTTGCTGTGCTAGTTATGTTAGGTTGAACTGTTTTATCCCTTCTCTGTTTAATTATTTGATATTAGGGTTAGTTTTCTGGGAAAGGAAGTAGGAAAGATTAAATTAATGCAAACCAATGATACAAAAACTACATGTGCATGTATATATACACATACATATACACCCATATGTCCATATATCTATGTATATAGGTGTGTGTATACATATATGTGTATATATACACACACATATATATACATACCTTTATATATGTATATAGGAGGTGTGTGCATATATACACATATACATACACACACACATACACAACTAGCTGTGTGATTCTGGGCAAGTCATAATGTCTGGTTGTCTCTATTTCTCAGCTGTAAAATGGAAATTATAATAACACCTACTTCCCAGAGCTGGCATGATGATCAAATAAAATAACATTTGTCAAGTACTTAGCACAGTGCTTGGTATACAGTAGGTATTATATAAATGCTAACTGTTAATTATAATTATTACTAGTTCCTTTTAGTCTTCCCAAGTAGATTTCTTAGTAGTCATAATATTCATTTCTTATCACATGTTAATATGATAGATAGATAGACAGACAGACAGATAGATAGATATTAATCTTCAATATAATGTCTTGCAAGGGGGAAGGGGCTCTCCTTCACCACCACCCCTTTCATTTCCAGCAGTACTTATGGTGGACAAAATGTTTCTGCTCTGGCACATAGTGGAATTTCTGTGGATTTTGCAGTCTTTGCTCAGAGAGAGACAGTGTGTATCTGAGTCTGCTACCTGATCACCTCTCCATCCCTACACCAATGACTTATTTGCCCTAGCTGAACAGAGCTAGGTAGGACTAAAGGTTGAAAATTGCAAGGAGGCTGTTTTCATTTATTTAAAAAGAAAAAACTTCCTAAAATTCAGAATCATCAAAAATGGGAGAGACTCAGAGGTGTGCTGGGGCTAGCTCAAATGGTTCTAAGCTTCCCATGAGAGCATTTACATCTTGGAAATTGGCAAATATTACCAATCAGGGCTTGATTTATTATTTTGTTGATTGTCTAGACCTAAGAAGGTGGTGGAAAAAGTGTTAATAATGAAATATGCTGTGTATGCTTTTTTTTTAATGGAGAGCTTGCTGTTAAATAGTTACTAGCACACTCATGGATAAACTCCTTCATAAAGTCATGAGTTTCCTGTCACTAGAGATCTTCAAGTATGATATGAGCACTTGTAGAAAAAGTCATGGATGGAGGTGCATGCTTTGAGTAAAGAGTTGAACTACAAATCTTCAAACTCTGCAATCCCATCATTCTAAAAGAATCCTCCAACCTGTTTGTATACAGCCAAAGTCAATCAATCACTATTTATTACATACCTATTTTGTGCAGTGGTGGTGCAGTGGATAGAGCACTGGCCCTGGAGTCAGGAGGACCTGAGTTCAGATCCAACCTCAGACCCTTACTATCTATGTGACCCTGAGCAAGTCACTTTGCCCAGTTTGCTTCAGTTTCCTCATCTGTAAAATGAGCTGGAGAAGGAAATGGCAAATCACTCCAGTATCCTTGCCAAGAAAACCCCAAATGGGGTCACAGAGAGTCGGTCACGACTGAAGCAACTCAGCAACAATGACATTATGTGCTAAGTACCTGTGCTAAGGGCAGGGAGTACAATGGAATGCCCTCAGAAAGCTTATACTCTAACAGGGGCACAGCACATACATGAATCAGAACATATCAGATAAATGGAGAGGAGACAGAAGGTCACCTTAGAGGCACTAGGGCTGGAGGGTTTGAGGAAGGCAGGCATATAGTGGCCAAATAATCATGTGACTAGGATATTAGCAAAACAGAGAATCTGGAATATTTAAAGCAGAACATGGGTTCCCTGCTTTGTGTTTGTGTGTATCAAATATCACTTAGCAAGAAAAGAGTAATGTTTTAATAGCAATGATTTCATAATAAAATATAAGAATGTTTATAATATTTTAATAATTTAATAACTTAATATTATGACATACTTGTGTAACATAAAAGATGTGATAAAAATGGTGTGAGTTAGCTATGAAGAAAGGCAATAATCTAAGACTTTCTGTATAATGTACAGAGTAGATAACATGATACTTTAGGAAAAACATTTGGTTCTAGAGTCAGAAGACCTGGGTTCAAACTCCACCTTGGAAATTTTCTGTCTTTGGTGAACCTTGCCAAATCACTTGATTTCCTTGTTCCTGTTTCTTCATCCAAAAAATGACAGGATTGACAGATTCCAAGGTTCCACCTAGCTGTGAATCCATGATTCTATGACCTCGATAAGCCTCAAGATTGCAATGGGAAAAAATCCTTATAGGGAAATCAAATCACAGCATTCCTGTTTACATACTATATCATTTCTTTTTATAATCAATACAATTTTAATTTTAAAAATTCAAGATGTGTTCCAAAGATAGAGACAAATAAGAAAGAAAAGTCCCATAACACCAACAATTTATTATTACTTTAGGAGGGTAGAAGAGGGAGGTCTCTACAAAAACTTATTGCCACAGCATGTAGACAGCAATCAGTCTGGGAAATGGGTGGGTGGGGAACTTGTTTCCGCCCAACAATCCCCCAGAGATCAGCAGGTATAGCAATATGTTGATCTAGTACAAATTTGGTCTTCAACATGGCTGTTATCAGGCTTTTGATAAATCATTAATCAAGCACATCACAAAAAGATAATGTATATAGAACTTGGCTGTAAATCTCCAGGCTAAAACATTAAATAAACCCTTCTTTGGGATTGTCTTAGAACAGAAAAAAAAGTTTATTAGATCCAGTTCTGACAGAAACAAAAGCATTGTCCCTCTCAAATAAGGAGATGCTAAAATTCACTTCTGTAGCAACCCATAGGCATGCTTGGATCCTCCATGATTTAGAACACATATATACTTCCACCTAAATGAAAGCTGGAGGATTCCCCAGTGGATGGGAAAGTCCACTATCTCACTTCCACTAATTTTTAGGTTGCTTTCTTCATTCCTCAGTCTATGTCCTGTGCATTTCTCTCTAAAACTAATCTGAAATTTTCCTGGAAACGGAGCCCAGGTCCACCATAGGATTCCATTCAGAAGCTTCAAGAATAAGTAATGAAAATGAGAAAAATGGGTGGAGTCAATGATTCCATGAGGATTACTCGAAGTACTTGGATTCAGCTGGAATTCCAACCAATGACTCTACTGTTTTTCAGACACGGATTGAAAGCCATCCATCCCTGAAGGCTTCTGCCATATACTGACTGTGACCCTGGGCAAGCAACTTCTAGTGCTATGTTGTTGTTCAGTCACATCCAACTCTTCATGACCCTATTTGGGGTTTTCTTGGCAAAGATGCTAGACTGGTTTGCCATTTCCTTCTCCAGCTCATTTTACTGATGAGGAAAGTGAGGCAAACAGGCTTAAGTGACTTACCCAGAGTCATACAGCTAGTAGCCAGCTGAGAAAAGAATATTTTAAAGAAACTCCATAAACTGCCTTACCTGAGTCACGTTAAACTCTGCCAAAAAATAAAGTTTTTTCCCATAAGTATCTGCAATAAAGAAAAAAAGAATGTATACATACGTATCAGAGAAAAATTACATTTATTTATTTATTGGGCCTGGAAAAAGGATATACTGGGTGCTATTTACATATATATTTATTTATTTAAATTAGAATCTTCCAACAATTAGCCTTTAGTTTACTGATAGCCCTTAATGAAGATAGTTAATTAACATTAATAAATATAATGACATATAAACCACTACTTAGTTCAGCCTCTGGGGCAGCGGGGGGAAATTAGTCACACTGTCTGTTTTGATGTCATATAGATAAAGTGATTAATGAGAGTTTTCACTAGCTGCTGATTTGTTGGAGCTTCAGCTTTAGTTTTTGTAGAAAAGTTTAGGAAAATCTATCAAGCCTCAAACTTGGCCTGCCTCTCTACTCACTAAGCCCTGTCAGAGTGAAAATACAATTAAAAACCAACCAGAGTACACTCTTTCAACAGAACCAGGGATGGGAGTTACATTTCTTATTTTCATTACAGTTCTTAATTTGCTAAAAGTATGACTTCTTTTAAATTTAGATCAATTTATTCCATCCCCCAAACTCTGGGCTAACCATTTTTGTAATTTTTATATATATTTTTGCACGTTTATTTTTATCGTAGCAAAGATACCCAACCGTCACGTAAGATATCATCTTATAGTTCATAAAATATCTACATAAATCAATATGCACACCAGATTTATGATTTTATTAGGTCTAAGGATTGGACAAAATTTATAATAGAAGAGGCCATCTGGTTTAATTGCTTGTGTACCTATCACATTTCCTACTCAAGGACAAGGATATTCTCTCTTTTTTTTTTTTCGGTGAGGCAATTGGCATTAAGTGACTTGCCCAGAGTCACACAGCTAGTGAGTGTAACGTGTCTGAGGTCAGATTTGAACTCAGGTCCTCCTGACTCCAAGGCCAGTGCTCTATCTACTGCACCCCCAGCTGCCTCTAGGATACTCTCTTAAAACCTCTTTGTACCTGACATAGGCCATAGCACAGTGTCTTGAATGTAGTAGATACTCAGTAGATATAATTTCTGAATAAATGAAGTTACTATACTAATCTTGTCTAGGAGTGTGCCATGATCGTAGACCATAGGTATATGAAATATTTTGGGTAAATGTGCAAATATAATAGTGTAAGCTCTCTTTCTTTTCAGGGAAAGCCAAAAAGCATTTTTCTTAGCTCACCAATAAAAGGCACTGAGTATCACTAAAATAGTACTTTTTTTTTTCCTATACTGGACCTAGAATTTCATTGGAATAGGCTAGGGAACACCTGATGAGTATGATCTCTCTAATAATATAAGTCACCATCTGTTATTCAGGGCAGCTAGGGAGCAGAGGATAGAGTGCCAGGCCTGCAGTCAAAAAGATCTCATGAGTTCAAATCTGGCCTCAGACATTTACTAGCTGTGTGACCCTGAGAAAATCACTTAACCCTGTTTGCCTCAGTTTCCTCATCTATAAAATGAGCTGGAGTATCTTTGCCACAAAAAACCCCAAAGGGGGTCACAATCAGACACAACTGAAATGACTGAACAACAACATCTCTTCAACTTATGGTCCCAGAAAGTTGTCTGGGTCACTGAAAGCTTAGGTGACTTGCCAGTAGGTGTCAGAGATAGAATTTAAACCCAGGTTCTTCTCACTCCAAGGCCAGCTATCTAGACACTGAGCTACACTGCCTGTAAACGACAATCATTACCACTAATAGATCAGAATAAAGCTTGCTCTCTTGGCAATAGTCTTGGCATTACATTTGCTACTTGGGTAAAAATCTTTTGTAACCAGGAATGTAATCTAGTTTTGGCAACAACTTAGAGAGCTTCTGGTCTCTATCCCCATAATAAATTATGCCCCATGCATTTTGTTAAACGTGGTGCCATATCATGAAGGCAATTTAGCAAAAGAGTCATTGGAGCTATTAAAATACAGCATTAATGAGGGTGGTGGAAACTTGACAATGAATTGTCCAATGGGAGTTTTCTGTGTACTGCAGCACTCACTCCTGACCGAATGATTATGAAAGAAGAGGGTAGGGGTGACATCTAAGAAGTCATCAGACATCAATTTACCTCTTGTTTCACCGTCATCCCAAAACAGCTCTCCCTTTGCTTCTTTTTTGTCATCCAGGGCAACAATGAATCCCAGGGGATTTTTACGGCTATGGGAATAGATATAAGGCTTAGACAGAGAAAGACACAGGTCAGATTGCCAGAATGAGGATCCTAAGGGCAGACGCTCCTGAGAATCCCTCTATGAACACATTTTAGATGAAAACCCTTTTATAGACCAGGAAACTGAAACTGATGGCTGGAACCTGGGAGAACTCTCAGGGTCACATAGCACTAGATGTCAAAGGTGGGCAAGGTGTGGTTGTTAAGTGCCCAGGTCTTTTGACTCCTAGTTCAACACAAATTCCACTATATGCCATGCTAATGACTAGCATGGCAAAGTTCTATGTGTATGTTAAATTCTGAATGTGAATAAATGAAAGAATATAGATAGTCTAAGATGGGAGAAGATTTATCCCCCCTCGAATGAGGAAGAGGATGCCACATGCAAACTGACTTTCCTTGGAAAATGAGGGTGGTGAGTTTTGTAGATGCGCATTTTGGATGAAAAATTTAAATAACTAGTCTGGGTCTTCCTGTTACTATCTTCCCATATCCTAAACCACAACACACCCTCCTCCGTGATACATTGCCTGACCAAGGCTCCCTGAAAACAAAATAAGTGACAAGATTGGGCTCTCACGTTCACAGCATACCTGGCCTCTGTAGTTTCAGCTGGCTCCTGTGTGGGAAAGATGGAGCCCCCTCGAAGGTGAAGTCCTATCTTGTCCCCAGGAAGCACCATCTCCACCCATTCCTTTCTCTGTGGAATCGCTACATTCTAGGTGAAAAGAAGAAAACAGCTGGCCTTAAATTCAACCAAATCATCCAACAGCAGTTAGTTAGTTAGTGGCTAGTTAGTAGTAGTTAATTAGTTATTAGTAGTAGTTAGTGGTTAGTAGTAAACGGCTCACAGACTCTCAGCGTTGGAAATCATTTCAGACATTGTCTGGCTTGATCGTAGCTCTCTTGATTTAAGGAACAGATCATAGAAACATAAACTTATGGAATATTGGATCTGAAATGGACTTTAGAAGTCATGTGCTTCTCTGTCCTACTCCCCAGCTGTGTATTCTAGCTAAATTGTCTGGAAAGAATATTTATATGAAAATGATTTTACTTTCCAAATGATTTTCAAAATAAAGTAGAAATATATTCCTCCTAAAAAGAATTAACTATTCAACAAAAGAATGGTAATAATGATCAATGTGATTAAATATGTTTTTCTTTTTCTTTTTCAGAAAAAAATAAAAACTCACACTATCCCAACCCCCTCAGATCCCAGAATGCAAATGCAGTGTAAAGCACAGGTGCCCCCCGCTGCTCCCTCCCTAGACGCAGCCCATGCAATACAGCGTATACTTAGCAGTCAGAGGCTGTCCTTACTTACTGTCTCATATCCATACCAGATGGCATCAGGGATGTATGCCATCACTCGGTCCACACCCTAGGACAACAGAGAAAAGTAACATCTAACCTCCACACTGATAGACGTCAGGCACAAGGGACAAGAGAGCATCCTCAGGCAAAGATGTCAGCTGACTGACATCTCAGTGTGACTGAACTAGTGTCATGAAGTGATACATGACATTATTATTATTGGGGCTATCACATGCATTCCAAATATGCATGTGGATTATTGCAGAAAAATTTTCATCCTGGAGGATTTCTATATCTGCCGTTACATTCCTGGTCCCACCCTCTCCGCATTAAGCCTGGGCATCATACTCCTGCCTCTTCTCCTGCAAACAATTAAGACTCAGTCTCTCTCTCTATTCACTATGCCCTACCAACTCTCAACACTTTCTGCTACTACTCTTTACCATAGTCATGCATCCTAGAATGATAGACTCATCAGATATTAGAGATGAAAGAGAGCAAGGGATGCTTCTTTTGACCCATGGCCACAGGGGTATCTGTTGTAGTCAGCACATAAAGACAGTCAAAGCCTCTACTAACGTCATATGCTTGGTACTCAATATCTACTAAAGGTCACCATGAAGGGCTAGATGGGCTGAGGGACAGTGGGGTACCCTGTCTGTACCACTTAATGTCACATACCATGCAAAGAAACTTACTGAATACAGAACTGGTGTGATAAGCAGGCCAGGCCCCCAGAGGAATTGCTGATGTATTTTCCACGTCTGTGAATCCTGGTAAAACCTGGGGATATGGAAATAAGCATGATTTGTCCTCCAATCATAATTAACCCCAGATCATATGTTCACATGATTATAAACTAAAGTCGTGATTTGGAAGGCAATAGTCACAGATGAGGGAGCTTACTCATGGACAAGAGGCCGGGCCACTGTATCCCCCCGAGTGTGAGCTCTAAAGAAGAGGGTATAGAGGTAGGGCAGAAGATTGTAGCGGATATTGAGGTAGTATCTGGCAGAATCCAAAAGAACAGAGTTTATTCCAAATGCAGCAGGATCTTGGTCCTGGTGAAAGAGAGAAAAAAACACAAAATAACTGCTTAACCAATTACATTATAGTTTAAGGCCAAATCTAGTCCAAGGATTCTTCCTAGATTAACAAACTGTCCTTTTTTCCTACAGTAAAATACTTCATTCATCTTCTTCTCCCTCAAGTATTTATACAAATTTGCAGTCTCTATTTCTCTTGCCTTTTTACTGACCTCATCTTTCTTTTCAGATTGCAAGCTTTTCCAAGGGCAACAGTTACTTTTGTTCTTTTATGTCTTCTGTTTCTCATGTACATAAAACACAGGGCATGCACACCTCACTGAGATAGGCAATGGAGACTTACTTATTTATTATTTGTATAAGAACACTAGTATCTCCCTACAGAGATACTGACTTCCCTAATGTCCTGGTTCTAGAACCCTAGTAATTCCTTAGTCAAGGCTAATGGCGATCTTGCTCACTCTTCCTCTCTTGTGAGAGCTACCACTCACTTTTCCCAAAGCCTCGCACCTTCACTTTGGATTGATTTAGAGACTAGGACCTGCTCCCTCTTCTTCATTCTCAGACTTGCCTCCTTTTTGTCAACTCTGACTGCAAGAGAGCCCATCCACTGAAAGTCATCTTTGTCTCTTCAAGTATTCCTTGAGTCTCTTGTCTGGATCTCTCCTTTTCCCCTCTTCTTTGTATCACAGTTATTTGTTTATAGGTAATATCTTTCCCATCACCACTCTTTCCCTTTAGTTAAATCATAAACTCTGTGGAGGTAGAACATGTGTCATTTTCCATTTTTGCATCCTCTAGAGTTTAATGAATGAAATATTTATTAAGCACTTACTATGTGCCAAGCACTATTCTAGGCACTGGAGATACAAAAACAAACGTAAAAAGGTCTCTGTCCTCAAGGAGCTTACCTTCTGATGGAGGAGACAACACGTAGATCTATAAGTACCTCTTCAAAATGAATAGAAGGGAGGAAGGGAGGAAAGGAAGGAAGGAAGGAAGGAAGGAAGAAAGAAAGAAAGAAAGAAAAGAAAGAAAGAAAGAAAGAAAGAAAGAAAGAAAGAAAGAAAGAAAGAAAGAAAGAAAAGGAAAGAAGGAAAGAAAGAAAAAAAAAGAAAGAAAGAAAAAGAAAGGAAGGAAGGAAGGAAGGAAGGAAGGAAGGAAGGAAGGAAGGAAGGAAGGAAGGAAGGAGGAAGATAAAGAAAAGAGAGTAGTGGGAGGTATTAGCAGGTAGGGTAAGGAAAATAAGGAGAAAATGATATGAGCTTCCAGCCTTAGTTATCTCCTTCAGCTAGCCTTTCCAAGACTTCCTGGCTCTATTCTTTATGCCCCTATCATCAATGTCCAATGCCTGTAAGTCATCCTCTTTGTTTTACTCATAGGCAAGAGATAGTAGAAGCCAATCCATTTATTATTTTCTAAGCTTGTGGCACTTATAATAGCAGAACTAGAGACACTATGATCAATGCCCTCAAACTTTGGTTAGTGGCTTTCCAGAACTCAAGTGGGTATATCTAAAAGCTCTTCCTTGTGCCCCTTTCTTTCCTTTCTTTTTATAGGGACTGGGAATTTCACCCAAGCACCAGGACATGTCACTCTGTCATTGGAGACATCTGTGAATCAACTGGCAGATTTCTGACAACCTCCCTCTGAGAGCAAAGAATGGCTCGCCATTTGGGTGTCTTACCATAAAACCTGGGCCGTTGTGATTTCTGGACAATGGATAGAAGGCTCCCAGCTGCATCCAACGCCTACACAGCTCCTCTGAGGTATTGGAGGCAAAGCCACAAATGTTCGCACCCACCTGGAAAAAAGCACAGACACCCAGCCTTTGGCTGTGTCCCCAGTATAGGGACAATTTCAGGAAGAAGATAACAATGTCCCATTTTTTGAAAGTTCTTTGGCTAATGACAAGAGACAGGATACGTGGAGATCACAAGCATAAAGACTGCCCTACTTAAGAAGCAATCAGAATATGGACTGGACCTGTGATGTCATTTACCTAGAGAACTACCTCTATCAATGCAGGATGGTGATTTGACTGCAACATACAGCCTTATGAGAGTTACTCAGAGCACTGAGAGATTAAGCGACTGGCCTTAATTCACACAATCAGCTTATGTCAAGTGACTTCCTGGCTCCAACACCAGCATTCTATTCACTCTTCTATGCTGTGATGGTATAGGAAATATGACTAAACAACAGCAAATAACTATAAAACAGGATGGAGGGGAGTAATAATGGAATGGAGATCATCTTTCTATAAAAAACTTGTTTTCAACTTCAATCCCTAATGCCTCCCTCCCCCCCTTCTTTTCCCAAGGCCTTCCTCATGGGGATTTTTGAATATTAATACATCTTACTCCTGCAGCCTCTTTACCTTTCCAGAGCTCTAAAGAAGAGCAACCTAGGCTCTAGATTTACTATTCTACTTTTAACAGGCAACTGAGCAGGAGGATGTGATTTTTTTCTCCAAGACAAAATTCCTGATGGGTCATTTGCTCTTTAGATGTCAGGTGCTCCCAGAGTTATCAAGCACAGGTGTTAAGAGACAGAAAGACTCTCCCTCTAGGAAGGTTTTTTTTTTTAATAGTAGGAAATGGACCTTACCATGGGGATACCGAAAAGGTTGAACTCAAGAATACTGGGGATGGACCATTGGAGATCATTCCAAGTGGCATCATTATCCCCTAGCCAATGAGCTGCATATTTGCCTGACCCAGCAAAGGTTGATCGGGTCAGGACGAAGCTTCTCTTTTGAGAAAAGATGCTCTCCATGGCTCTGGAAAGGAAAGACATCTAGGTTACTGAAGAGCTGTGAATTCAGAATTCTCTTACTGTTGGTGGGAGGTATCAAAGGTCCTGTGTGTCTTGCACTCTCCAACATCAAATTTGAAGAAAGCTTCCCAGAAGGGGAAGGAATTAGAGGGATGTCTGTTTCCCTAGAATAAGTATACGAGGCTGTGATGGTAAATAAGTCCACATTTATCCTAGCGTAATTATCAGAGGTGGGGCAGCTAGGTGGTGCAATGGATCAAAGGTGAGGCCAGGAGTCAGGAAGACCTGAGTTCAAATCAAGCCTCAGACACTTACTAGCTGTGTAACCTGGAGCAAGTCACTTAACCCTGTTAGCCTCAGTTTCCTCATCTGTAAAATGAGCTGGAGAAGGAAATGGCAAACCCCTCCAGTATCTTTGCCAAGAAAACCCCAAATGGGGTCATGAAAAGTTAGGCACTGACTGAAAGTGAACAACAACAACAGCAAAAATTAGGCTTACACTGAGATCTTAGAGTGCATTGTATGACAAATTCAAAATAGATATACAACCTCAATATGAAAGACCACAGTATAACAGATCAGACCATAAGCAGATCACACACTTTTCAAAGCTAGGAGTAGGAGAAATATTCTTAACCAAACAAGGGGTATAGGCAATTACAAGAGATATAACATATTATTTTGATTACATTAAACTGAAAAGCTTCTGCATAAGCAAATTTAATTCATATCGAATCTGAAGAAAAGTAGTTAAATGGGGGGAATTTTTTGTATGAAATTTCTCAGATTAGAATAGGTATCTAACACATATAGAAAATGAATAGAAATATATAAGACCAAAATATATGGTCAGAGGATATAAACAGTTTTGAAAATAATTGCAAACTATTAACAACCATATAAAAGAATACTCCAAATCATTAATAACAATAGAAATAAAAATCAAAACAAACTTGAGGTTTTATTTCATAGCCAGAAAGCTGGCAAAGATGACAAAATTAGGAATGGTCGTGATAGGAGGAATTGTCAATAGACAGGCACATGAATGCGTTGTTGGTGGAGCTATGAATTAGAAGAACCATTTTGGAAAGCAATTTGGAATTATGCAAGACGAAACTAATCAAATCCTTTGACCCAAAGATTCTGCTGCTAGGTACGTACCCCAAGATAGTCATTGATTAAAAAAAAAAGTATAGCAGTTTTGTGGGTGCATCTGTGTGTGTGTGTATGTGTGTGTGTGTGTGTTAGTAAAGAACTAGAATGAAAAAAAATGAATGGATTTGGGAGTGGCTTAAAAAACTGTGGTAAGCATTTCTTACTAAACAATAAATATGATGGATACAGTGAAGCATGGGAAAACTTTGATAAACCGATACAAAATGAAATAAGTTAGAGCCAAGTAAACAATCTCTACAATGACTAACAGCAATGTAAATTAAAAGAACAATCACCACAAAATACTGAGAAGGAATGTTGTAAAATTAGAAAGAGCAAGATTGGCCCACAAGAAAAGATTAAAAAAAATATATACTACCCCTAACCTGCTCCCCCAATACACACACACACAACACACACACACACACACACACACAGAGAGAACACAAACACACTTCTTTGCAGAGGTGTCCATGGGTATGGAATCTTGCATATAGTGTCTGATTTTTCCAATGTATTGATTAGTTTTTTCCTGTTTTTCCCCTTTTTCTTTTTTTCTTTAAAAAAAAATAAAATCTTGTTATATGGTCTAGTTCTTTGGAGGGATGGAAGGAAGGGATACAGAATTAAATCTGGTCAATCTCGAAAAGAAAATATTAAAAACAACTATTTTAAAAAAAATCTTATGATCCTTTAGGGCAGAATCTATTTACTTTTCTTTATATCACCAAATTAATACAAATTACTAGCAATGTTAGATATACAAATCAGAACAACCTTGAGGTTTTACCCCATATAAAGTAAATTGGCAAAGATGACAGAAATAGGAATAGTCAACATTGGAGGAGCTGTCAATAGATAACACAATTCCCATGTGCTCAGCACAATGCCTGGCTAATTGTGAACACTTAATAAAAGTATTTTGATTGAAAAAATTCTACCAGACCAAATAATTATAATAATAATAGCTAGCATTTATGCAGTACTTTGAACTTTGCAAAATGCTTTATGTAAGTTGTCTCATTTGACCCTCACAACAACCCTGTGAATGCCTATTTTACCAATAACTTAAGTGACTTGACCAAGGTCACACAGCTAGTAATTGTCCAGTCAGGACACGAACTCAGGACTTAAACTTTAAGTCTGGCACTTAACCTATTGTGCTCTCTAGATGCTTTACCTGATGATCAAGAAAACAGGAGATATCACCCCAAATCTTTGAATGAAATCAACCAGAAGTCCAAAGGTAATTAGAAAGAGGACCACTAGAAAAGTCAGTGCTGTGGCAGGCCAACAATATGATAACCTTTCAATGCAATCAGAGAAATGCCAGAGACACATATAAATGTAAGGCCCAGCTTCCAGAGGACAGTATGAACAGACAGTTCCCATGAGAAAGCCTCAGAGTGACTCAAAACCCAAGCAAAGACCCAACAAAGCTATTAGAAGTATTAACGTCACTGTTCATACCAGGATACTGTAGGCCCAGGGCTTCAGGGTCCTGAGACAATGCCCCATTTCCAGAATTAAGACTGGAAATAAGTAGAGACAAGATGCAGACAATTATAAAGCAACATAATAGATCCAAAGAGAATTTTAAAAATCCAACTTAGGAGGAGAGAATAATTCCATAACAACTGCTAGCAGAGAGTTAAAGAAAAAAAATTTCCACAAGGAATGCATGAATACCTAGAAAAGTAAAGTAAGAGATAACAATGAAATAAAAGCTCTAGAGGAAAGAATTAGAAGAAGAATGAATAGTTTAGAGAAGATGGTGGTAAAATTTATCCAAGTAATAGGCTCCCTGATAATTAAAATAGTTCAAACAGATATCAGTGACTGCCCAAGGTAACAAGAAATATTAGAACAATATGTTTAAAGTTGAAAATTGGAAGCAAATGTATCTTATATGAAATGTTTAAAAAATTTATATGGAAAACAGGTCAAGGAGAGCTGATTTAAGAATTATTGTACTACCTGAAAGTCATAAGCAACAAAAGAACTGGGATATTATAATTCTAGAAGTCATGAAAGAAAACTATACAGACAGAACAAGAGGGCAAAGTAAAAGATAAAGGATCTACCAAGCACCTCCTGAAAGAAACCTTAAAAGGAAAGCCCTTAGTAAAATCATAGTCAAAATCTGGAGTTTTCAGGTCCAAAAAGAATAACACAGACCATTCAGAAATAAGACGTTCAAGTACCAAGAGGACTGAAAACCTGGCAGTTTCTAAACAGAAACCAGAGGAGATCTTGAAACATAATGTTCCAAAAGACAACAGATATAGGCTTACAATCAAGAATAATTTACCTTGACAAGCTGAGTAAAATCCTACAGGGTAAAAATAAAACCTTAATGAAATAAAGGATTTTCAAGCGTACCAGATGAAAATTCCCAAACTGAAGAAGAACTTTGAAATGCAAACACAATAATCAAAAGAAACTCAGAGAGGTAAATGTATTTGATCAATTGGAAAGGGCTGTATGTGGATGAAATACTAACATTCTAAGAGAGGGGAAAGAAACATATTTCTTCAGAACCTTAATGTCTTCCAAGGCTATTAAAGGAGTTAATGAAGACAAACAGAGACATGGAGGTAGTTTGGTTCTATTACAAGAGTTTTTAAGAGGGAAAAGAAAAGGATTATAAAAGGAATATACTATTGTAGAAAGCATGAGGATTCACGTTAAGTGCATTGAGTGAAAAGTATACAACCTGAGAGGAAGGGGTGGGGACGAGATAAGAATCACTCTTATCTTAAAAAAATAAAGAAGGGTTGAACACAAATATGCACCCATATAAACACAAAGAGTTTATTGTAAAAATATACCAAACTCAACAGAGTAATAGGGAAGGATAAAGAGAGAGGGACTAAGAAGAAGGATATTACTGGGGAGGAATATATCTAATATTTCACAAGTAAAAGAAACTTCCTGAACTTGAAGGGGACTAAAAGAAAAAAGAAAAGAAAGAAAAAACAAAGAACTGGAAACTGAGGGGATACTCATAAATTGGGAAATAACTGAACAAATTGTGGTGTACAAGTGTTATGCAATATTATTGCTCCATAAAAAGTTACGAAAGACATGCTTTCAGAGAAGAGTGGGTAGTATGAAATGATGCAAACAGAAGTGAGCAGAACCAGGGGAATGAGGAATTTGAAAACTTAAGAAGTCTGATAAAAGCAATGACTAACCATGTCTCCAGAAGGCCTATGATGAAGCATTTTAACTATTTCCTAATAGAAGAAAGATGTACAGAGGGAGACATACATTTTTAGACATGGCCATTATGTGAATTTTTTCTGCTTTACCATACTTATTCATAAGGACTTTTATGATGAGGACTTTTTATTATCTTCCATTATTAAATGGGGGGCTAGTTTGGAGGAGGAGGTAATAACAGTATTAGCAAAAGAAGAGAAAAAAGAAAATTAAGAAAGAGAAGGGCCAATAAAATACTTTATTTTAAAATACAGAGAACAGAAGGAAGTTTAAAAAAAAAAGTTGGATTGTTTTGAAAGTAACATGTTGAACTTCTTATAAAAAGTGTCTTTTTTTTAAAGAAAGTGGTATAAAATAGAGATTTGTGGTTTCATGTGTAGTTTTTTAAGTATTCTACTTTGTATATGGAAAGGTATTTGTTAGTGTTTGCTAAGGTCAAGATAATTTTTTTTTTTGGCGAGGCAATTGGGTAAAGTGACTTGCCCAGGGGCACACAGCTAGTAAGTATCAAGTGTCTGAGGCCAGATTTGAACTCAGGTCTTCCTGAATCCAGGGTCGGTGCTCTATCCATCTAGCTGCCTACTAAATTAAAAAAAAAAAAAGAAAATCAAAGTGTCTTCTTTCAAATGAGAATGCAGAGGAATAAAAAATGAAGTTCTTACTTTTCTGTTGCAATTGTCATAGAGTAGCCATATAAACTATGGACATCATAGTGCAGACCCCAGTGCTGCTCTGTATCCATGCAGAGGGTCTGTGCAAACAGTTGTCTATCCAAGATTCCTGTAGGGGAAGATGCCGATAATTTAACTCCCAGGACATATCCTTCCTACATCAACTCTCTTCCAACATCTACTTTGCTTGCTTTTGAACCAAGTTCACTGTCGGCAAAGTATCAGCAAATGTATCAGCGGGGTTGGCAGGAGTGATGCCAAACCAAAAAAAAATTATAAACCAATATAATTTTTTTTAATGTACAGAAGAAAACAGGAAGAAGTTCAAAAGAGAAGCACAGACTAGTAAAACAGCTTTGAAAGTAAAGTTCGAATATAGTATAGACATATATTATATGCAGTATAAATTGCAGATTCACACTTTCATATACAGTAAAATCATCTTTCTGTGTTCTATTATAGTATGAAAATGCTCTTTTTTTAGTGTTTAGATTCAGAACAAAAATGAAGAAAAAAGAAAAAAACATAATTGTCTTCATTAAGAAAAGGATCCAGAAACAGAACAAGATATATTTGTCTAGATTTGACCCCACATGGGGTCGTGACCTTAGAAAAAGTTTAAGAAGCCCTGGTCTAGAAGGAGCTGGCTAGTAGCCTGCTCTGAGAAAAGCTATAGTCAAAGTCAAAAGAGAGGAGATAGGAGAGTGTGTGTGTGTGTGTGTGTGTGTGTGTTGTATATCTACACACACGTAAATGTATGCATGTGGGTGTGTGTACACATACATGTATGTATGTATATGTGTACATATACACATTTGTTTTTATATATTATTTTTAAATAATAAGGATTCCTAGAGGCAAAGCCCTGGGAGACATGAGCTAACCTGTTGAGGCAGGTGATTACTCATATTAAGTTTTGACCAGAAGCTTATAGGCACTAGACAGGTCTGGCAGGGAAAAAAGTAACAAGAGACCCAGCGAAAGGAAGGAGAACCTAGCCTGACCTATCTTCTGCCTCTGTAAGGAAAGCCCTCCTTATTAGCGGAACATTGTGCTTCAACTCCATCATACTGAACCTTCCAACGTTTCTTTCTTTTCTTTCGACATTTTCCACATTGACAGCAGTCATGGTAGCACTTACTGGGAACAAATGGTGGGTAGTTCAAATAGTTGGGTTCACACAGTGAGTCATTACTTAAAAAATTGGATACTTCATTCATATCCTTCAGGGATACAAAACAGAAAGGAGAAAGATTTTTAATGGACATTCAGTGTACTATAAAGATCATTAACCTAAGAGTTGAAAGACTTTGTTGAAGGCTTTTTTTTTAGTTACTATAAAACTCCTGTAGCCACTTTTCTACAGAGATCTTAAAAAGGGCACCATGGGAGTTGTTTATTTATAAAATGCACTTTAAAAACAAAACTTGAGAAACTATTTCTAGGTTAAGCTATGCTGACTTATGGAATGAAGGCAAGTAACCTGGTTCAGCTGCAAACCAGATACATGGTCTTATATAAGTCACTTGACATACCTGTGCCTCAGTTTCTCCACCTGCAAAATGTGAGGGTTGGACTAGAATAGCACTAATATCCCTTTACAATCTACCATTTCAAACCTACTTTATTAATGAGTTGATTTTTCCAATAATATACTTTGAGAAATGCTAAAGATCATATCATAGCTGCATTAGGTTTGTCTAGAGCATTTTTAAGGGGGGCAGCTAGGTGGCACAGCAGATAGAGTGCTGGGCCTGAAGCCAGAAAGAATCATCTTCAACACTTCAAATCTGACTTCAGACACTGACTAGCTCACAACAATTTCTTTTTTCCCTCTACTCAATGACTTCCTTCTCAGGAAGAGAAAATCCTAAACCATTGGCCTCAAAATAACTTAAAGAGATCCTATTTCCCATTTGTTTGGAAGCAGAACAGCACCTAGCCCAGCCTATGTGGACACATGTCTTTAAAATTTTAATCCTCTTCTAAGGAAGTAAACCTCATATACTCACTGAGTCACCTTTTCTTGGTTTTAGTCATTTGCAAAGAACATTTTGATGCTGCTGTAAGTGCCACAAGTTCCCAGTACAGTAGCTGTGGTCATAGACTGCTAGAGCTTAAGGGGGTGTTTCAGATCATCCCAGTCCATCCAGCCCCTTTACTTTCCATGTAAGGAAACAGAGGCCCAGAGGAGTAAAGCAACACACCTAAGATCACCCAAAGAACTAATCCAGATGGATCATTTGAATTCAGTTTTTGAGGCATTCTCCAAAAATTGATTGCAGCTGAGCTTAGCAACTACACGACTCATCAATCGCTCTGTTGAGTGATAACAACATCATCACCAAAAAGAAACCTAGCTGCTTCTCAAAATTCAAAATATTATTCCATTCCAAAAAGAGCTCAGACACTGGTAAGTTGACTCACAATCCAGATTCCGTCAAAATTCAGTTCTTTATGAAACTGCACCAACTCTTCAACCCACCACTGAGTGCCCTGTGGGTTAGTGTAATCAGGGAAAACAGCAGGTCCTGGCCACACCTAGAGAACAAGGAAGATATAAATGATTATCAGTATGGCAGCTAGTTCAGTGATTTGTTTCAAGTGTGAATTAATTGTCCCTTTTCCACAGAGATCCAAGCATAGAACATTGACTTTAGAACGGAGATTCTTAAGACCCTGGGGTCTGTGAAATTATTTTCCCCCGATATTTTGATAACTATTTTAATGTAATTGATTTTCCTTGTAATCTTATGTATTTTATTTCATACATTTAAGAGTGTTATTCTGAGAAGGGGTCCCTAGGTTTCATTAGACTTCCAAAGTGATAGATTCATGACACACAAAAAAAGCTTAAAAACTCTTACTTTAGACTGTCAATAATTAAACAAAATGGAGGAATGGGAACTGAATGACATAAAAAAGAAAAAGTAATCACAGAATATGGTAACCTCACAATCTTTCAAATATATATAAAACAACAATATGATGTTCTTCTTCTTTGGCAACATAAAATCTTTTCAAATAGAGCAAACATTTAACTTTTTCAGGTCAGTTGGTGTTAAAAAAAAATCAGCCTAACATACTGAAAAGTGCCCCAGTGTTTTTATCTGAATTTTTTTTCCTGTTTATGTCATATTGCCAATGATGAATCAGGTATAAAGAAGTGACAAAATATACTAATAAGGAGATATATGACCAGAAAAGGGCTCAACCAATCATTGAGAAAGAAGAAAAATGCACCTTCAGGTGAAATCCCAAAATACTTACAGAACAAAAAGCCTCCAATACAATGATACGTTATCTGTGGAGGATTCGTGGCACAGCATAGACAAGAGCGTCATTTGCTAAGAAAGTATAGACAAGTGGTGTGATCTGTGTGATAAACTTTTTTGTCTTTCTCAGTGACTTGCTTCTCAGGAAGAGAAAATCCTAAAACCAAAATAACTCAGAGAGATCTTCTATCCCATTTCCCTGGAAGCAGAACAGCACCAAGCCCATAGGGAACCATGGATTTTCATAGCATCAAAGTATTTACTGATAAAATAATTAAGAATTTTGTGTACAACTAGACTATGACTACCTTCCCTCCCCTCCAAAGCCTGAACTCCAAGCCAGCATCATGATAATTCACTCGTTTTCCACGGCAGTTTCTTACCTCCCCAACGATGGGCCCAATGGGTCCAGAAACCCAGACTCTCTTTCTGCTTCCCCTCTCGTAGGGACCATAGGTAAGGTTGTTGGAGATGCCAGGATTCTAAGAAACAAAGAAATGCAATTATGACTGAGAGGCCCTTCCAAGCTTTGGAAGGAATAGCAGGAAAAATATGTGTCCATACCAGGATAATAACATATCTCTGCCCATTTCTATGCAATTCTTCAGCAAACTGGTCAAGGCCATTAAAAATCTCTTTGTCATAAGTAAAGTCCTTCTTCTCCTCCATGTAGTCTATGTCAGAGTACTGGACATCCTGGAAACATAATCACAACATCATGAACAACATCATTGAGCCAATGGGCAACATTGACTGAGATCAGTAACACCGAAAACAACGTCTTGAATTGCCTTGCTTTTCCCAGGACCTCAGCTACTGACAGTTACTCTCTCTCAAGCTTCAAGGATCACACAATGATGGAGTCAGAGCTAGAAGGGACCTTTGAAATCGACAAGTCTAGCCCTCCCATTTTACAGATGAGAAAACTGAGAAGATAAGTGATCTTCCCAGGATCACACCCCTAGGAGGTATCTGGAGCGTATTAGAGCCATGATTCCAAGCACTAGGCTCAGAAGCAGGAAGACCTGAGTTCAGATCTGGCCTCAGATACTTACTAGCTCTGTGACACTGGGCAAGTCATTAACCCCTATTTGCCTCAATTCCTCAACTGCAGAATGGGGACACACTTGAGAAGTAAATGGCACTCCAGTAGTTTTGCCAAGAAAACCCCTTGGGTTTGGATTCACAAAGAGTCAGACATTGCTGAATAACAAGAATACTCTCCTTGATACATCCATGCAGAGCATTTGCATCATATTCCTAACCTTTAACTTCCACTTGGTACCAGGGCATTGGTCCCTCAGGCCTCAGAAGTATTAAGCCCAATATAGATTAGGAGGGAATTGAAGGATAATTTAGCCATCTCAAATAGCTGCTAACTTATAGAGAGCAATGCTTAGTAGCTTCCACAGGGACTTGGTTTGTCCTATGCACTTAGTAGCTTGTTCGGCTGAAAGAAATTAAGACTTGCCTACTATTATACTCACACCTCAGGGAAGACTTTTTCCTTTTAAGTTTCAACCCGGTTTTTTCTAGGGCTCATGGAGAACTGGGAGAGAAGTATCATGGTGTATTCGAAAGAGGGCCAGAAGACACAGTTTCAAACCCCACCTCTGTCACTGTGTGACCCTAGGCAAGTCATTTCACCACCCTGACTAGGTGTCATCATCTGTAAAATGAGGGAGTTAAAGATTATCCCACCCAGAATGCAACACAGATGTATGTTTGTACTCCCTAAAAAGGGGGAAAATCCATTGGACTGCCTTCCCTCACTGACTCTCAGCTGATAAAACAATTACTGTCTATCGAATGCCAAAGCTATCCCCTTAGCTTTGTTAATATTTTCCCACTGATTATAAAGAAGCATATGTTTGCACATGTCTTGCTTCTCAGACCGTTCCCTCGATTCCCTTCCAGAAAGTGTTTATCAGATGCAAACCAATTACTTCTTGTTTTTTGATTTACACCTGGACATTGGCCATGGTAAACATTAAGCAACACTAGAACATTTCAAGGCAAAGTTCACTTGGGGTTGGAGGCAGAGGCTGACCAGAATCCAGGAAGACCAACTGTAACTATTCTGTCTATACATGTCTCAAGTCTTTTCGGAAAATCTGAGAGCTGGAAGAGAGTTCAACAGCCAGCTAGCCCAACCCATGCCTGAATGAGATCCCTTTCTGCAATCCACCTGGCAAGCTGTTACTCAGTTTTTGCTTAAATGCCTCTAAGAATAGGGAACTTAGTCATTCCCCAGCAAGTCCATACCACTCTTACATAGCTCTAATCACCAGGAAGGGTTTCCTTATAATAAACGCAAATCTGTCTTTCTATGAAATTTATGCTCGTTGTTCCTTGTTCTGCCCAATGTCATCTTCCACATTGATCCCCGTGGCCCTTTCAATATGTGAAGACTCATAGCCCCACCTAAGTCTCCTTTTCTCTGGGATAAACATCCCCTGTTTTTTTTTGTTTTTTCAACTGACCCACACAAGGTATAGCCTTGAGGCCTTTTAACATCCTACTTTACTCCACTGTTGAACATCTAGGGTAACATTACCACGACCATTTCCTTTTTAACAAGTGCTAGCCTGAGTAGCTCCTACTGACTCTGTGTGACCTGTGAGTGCTCCAATGCAAAATATGTGCAGACAGATTGATGATGGCAAGGTCTGGAGAGCTCTTTCTGATGTCAACTGGGCTCTGGAGTCATTGGGAAGTCAAGCCTGTGGTTAGGGGCTGAGGGGGCAGAGTTCCCACTTACATAAGGTATCCCAACAGCACGTGTTCGGTTGACAACAGATGCCAGTCCTTCAATGCCTCCATAATCCCTACGACTGAGCTGGAAGCCAAGACTCCAGTATGGGGGCAAGAAAGGTCGTCCAATGAGCTGAAAGAAAAAGAAAAGGATCTAGCATTTAGAAAACCAATGTTTGACATCAGCTTATCCCCTATTGGAAACATTATCTCCATTTCACTATAAAAACCACCAAGGACTCGATGACTTCAGGGTTGTAAGGGTTTCTCCATGAAATGCTATGTTCTCCATCAGCCTTTACTTTGCAGCTATGTAGTCCTTCAGTAGCAATTATCAAAAAGTAATGGAAATGGGGCAGCTAGGTGGCACAGTGGATAGAGCCCCGGCCCTGAAGTCGGGAGGACCTGAGTTTAAATCCGGCCTCAGACCAAACACTTGACACTTACTAGCTGTGTGACCCTGGGCAAGTCACTTAACCCCAATTGCCAAAAAAAAAAAAGTAATGGGAATGTACAGAAAACACTGAGATCACATAGCAACCTCAAGTTCACATAGTTCAAAAAGCAATAACTGCTAATTCAATAAACATTTATTAATCATTTACTCTAAGTAGAACACTATGCTAGGTGTGGGAATGCATGCAAAAATTAGATAAGGAATTAGTAGTTCTTGCCCCAGTGAAACTTAGGGACTATGACACATACACAAATTCTGCATAATTATAATACAAAAAAAACCACATGACATGTATTCAGAGAGAACCAAATGGTGCTAGGTGAGGCACAAGGTTGTTATTGATTATGCAAGGAGGAAATTATTCAAGGCTTCATGACATTTGAAATAAGTTTTAGAGGATAGGGAGAAATTTAGCAGGTAGTGAGAGGATAGGTGTTGGGGGGATGTTGCAAAGGAAGTGAATTCACAGGCTAAGGGAAATAGAAGCAATAGCACAGAGGGTAATAGTGAGTAGTATAGTTTACTAGAGCGTAGAGAGAGGGTAATCCAGATTTGGTCAGGCAAAATTCTAGGGAAGTGCCCAGTTGAATAGAAATGCTAGCCCCTGACAAGTTTCTGACCTATATGCTGTCTCCTAAGGATGTGGTTCTCTCCAGCATGACAATAATGATGTCAATCACTGAGAATTTATTAAGCACCTGCTATGTGCTAGCACTGTGACAAGAATGACTTCTCTACTGAATTCCTATAGAATGTATACGTTTGTTATTGTACTTGTCTTAAACTGCTTATTCATGTCTGTTATTTGTGTATATCTTACCTCCCCCACTATTTCATATGCTATTTACCATATTCAATTTATATTTGTATAAGCACTTTTAGTTACTATAAATCTCATTTGATAAAACCATGCCTCAAGGCAGGCAGGGGAAATATCATTGTCTCCATTTTACAGATTTTACTAGAAAAACTGAGGCTCAAAAGGGTTAAGTGAATTGCCAAAGGCCACCCATTAGTTTTATACATATACATACATACATACATACATATATATATATATATATATATATATATATATATATATATATATATATATATATATATATATATATATATATATATATAGAGGTGTGTGAGAGAGAGAGAGAGAGAGCTTGCTTTGCATATATTTGTTTACATGTTGTCTCTCTCCCCCATTGGATTGTAAGCTCCATGAAGACAAAGACTGTCTTTTGCCTCTCTTTGTATCACCAGCACATAGCACAGAGCCTGACACATAGTAGGAGCTTAATGAATTTTTATTGAATTGAATTGAACCCAGCATAGTAACCGATGGACCTAGGGCAGAAATTTCTCTGACTCAATCCATTGTTTTCTCTATTTTATCATTTGGGAATTCTCCACCACCACCAGAACAATACCTTGCACCTAGTAGGTATTCAATACAATTAGCATTTCCATATACAAAGAACAGAAAAAGAAGATTGTAGAAGAAGCTACAAATCTGTATTATGTACAACTTGCTTTTCTTTTAATTATATGAGACTATATTTAGTAAATAACAATGAGCAATATTATATTAAATGTATAGTTATACATATTATAATACATAATAAATTTAACATATAACTTTCAATGCTGCCCTGCTTGTTTATGTTCCCTTCCAGCATTCTTTCTGTCCTCTTCTATGCATTTCATAATGCTTCAATGGCCCTCTTTCCCCCCCCCCTTTTCTTTCTTTGGGGAGAACCTGATATCACTAACCTCCCTCCTCTTCACAGCTCCTTAAATCCAAATTTTAAAAAAAAGTTTAACAAATATGCATAGTGAACAAAACAAATTCCCACATTGGCTGTGTCTGAAAATGTACATCTCCTTTTTCCACCTTGATGGATTCAAGGTCCTCCTAAGTTATGGTTGGCCATTGCACTGATAAGTTTTAAAGTCTTCCAAAGTCATTAGCCCTTACAATACTGTTTTTATTACATAAATTGGTCTCTCTTCACTCTACAGCAGTTCATATAAGTCTTCTCAGGTTGCTCCATACCTTTCATATTGTGTATGGTATAACAATTTTCCATTACATTCATATACCATATTTGATTCAGTTATTACCTAATTGATGGGCATTCCCTTCGTTTCTAGTTCTGTTAAAATAAATAGAGTAGCTATAAACATTTTTGGATCTGTAATAATAGGAATAATTTTTATTGTTGAGTCTTTTCAATCATGTCCAACTCTCTGTGATCTCATTTGGGGTTTTCTTGGCAAAGATATTGGAGTGGTTTGCCATTTCCTTCTCCAGCTCACTTTACAGATGAGGAACTTAGAGCTAAGTGCCAAGGGTCTTACAGCTTATAATTGCTTGAGGTCACATTTAAACTCAGATCCTCCAGACTACAAGGCCAGAATGCTATCCACTGAGCCACCTAGCTGCCCTCATAGCTATAATAGTTAACATTATATAGCACTCACTGTGACCTAGGCATTATGCTAATTACAATTACACTACAATTATTACCTCATCTGATTCTCACAACAACCCTGGGAGACAGGTACTATTAATATGGTTCTATTCTCCCTTTCTTTCTTAATTCCTTTAGAATATAGGCCTGGTGATGGTATCACCATGTCAAAAGGTATGCACAGTTTAGTGATTTCCGGAGGCATAGCTCCAAATTGTTATCCATAATAGCTGGACTAATTACAAGTCCACCAACAGTATATTAGGGTGCTTGTTTCCTTAGAGTTTCCAAAAATTGTCCTTTTCCTATTTTATGCCATCTTTTCAAATCTGAGAAATGTAAGGTGGAACCTCAGAGTTGTTTAAATTTACATCTCTCTTATTAGTAGTAATTTGGAGCATTCTTTCATATGCTGTTGATAGCTAGGATTTCTTCCTTTGAAAATTGCCTTTTCTTATCCTTTTCCCAGTTTTGTATTGGGGAATAGTTCTTATTCTTATTTATTTGAGTCAGTCCCTTATATTTCTTGGAAATGGAATCTTTATCAGAGAAACTTACTGCAAGGGTCCCCCCCCCACCACCAAGTTTTTCATTTCCTTCTAATTTTAACAGCATTGATTTTGTTTTTGAAAAAGCTTTTTCAATTTTATATTATTAAAAATATTAATTTTATCTTTTGGAATCCTTGTATCCTTTGGTCATGAACTTCTCCACTCTCCACAGTTTCAAAAATTGTTTCTTTCCTTACTGTTCTATTTTATATATTATATGACTTTGCATATCAATAGATAGATAAATATGAATGAATGGATGAACAAATGAACTTTACTGAGGTGTAATTCCCAAAGTCCTGAAATCTCAAGAACTCTTGGCCTGGTGTAGGTGAGTGATCTAATACAAATTCCTGGAGGCTTGCAAACCAAAATATATACACCATTTTTTTGTTTAGTTTTCCTCATGGTAAAAAGCAAATGATTTATCAAATAACAATCACAAGTAATCACTAATTGAATTGAGACATACCTCCAGGTATTCCTGAACAACTTGTTCTGGATTATTTCCCAAGAACACATAGAAATCAAGAATGCCACCAATTATACGGTAAGTGATTGCAGGGGCAGGCTGAAGAGCAACCTCTGGAGGAATTAAAATTAGAAAATACATCATGGAAATTAAAAGATCATCTCATCCTTTCCTTGTCTTTAGGTAAGTAAATACCACAATCCCCCAAGACAAATAATTTCAATATTATAGTAAAAGACACCTAAGGATGCGAATTACACATATTCCCTTAGTAAGAGGAACACTGACATTTATCAAAATGGAACCAAACATGAAGTAAAAAAAATTAAGATTAAGAAATAGGACTTCTTTTGATTAACTTGGGCCATTGGCCCCAAACTTGAGTCTCCTGGTTTCCCCCAATCTATTGCCTGACCCTTTAACTCTCAGCTGATGATTTTACCTAATACTTTAGTGACAAGTTTGAGGCCATGCCATGGAGGAACCTTCAACTCCCATGCTCCACACCTCCAAACTCATGTCAGAGGATAAAGTGACCTCCTTCTTGTGATAGACTGTTAAATTCAATGTAAGCATTTACACCCCAGAAATCAAGAACAAGGCTTGATTTATTGTTTCATTTATTATCTAAATTTAAGAAAAATATTGGAGAAAATATTAATGTAAATTAAATTTTAAAATGTCATGCAGTCAGCTGTTAAACATTATCAACATTAAATTCATTTACTTTTGCCCCTTTGATCCCATTCTCTCTCTCTCTCTCTCTCTCTCTCTCTCTCTCTCTCTCTCTCTCTCTCTCTCTCTCTCTCTCTCTCTCCTTCCCTCACTCCCCTTCAAACTCTCAGGATCACTTTCACTCTCCCCTCTGGCTTCTCTCTCTACTTATGAATGTGCTGATTTCTTCTTTATCCTAACACACCTGCCCCCATCCCCACTACATGTGATCTTAACACTACTGTGCCTTGTATTGCTCTCCTATCTTTGTCTTTACACTGTTACATTTCCTTACTTCTTAAAAGAATAATCTGAAGTCACTTCCCCATTGCTTTTCTACCTACAAATAAAACCTCTCTCAAAGGTCACCATTGACTTCCAAATTGCCCAATTTAATGGCTTTTACTCAGTCCTCATCCTCCTGGACTTCTCTGCTGCTTACTATACTGTTAATCAACATCTTCTTATAATCTCTTAACTCTAGGTTTCCATGATACTTTATTTACTGTTTATCTTGATTCCTCTGTCTTTGAGCTCTCTGTTTGTCTTCCTCTTTAGCCTCCAGCTACCTTAAATACCTATATTTCCTCAAAATTAAGTCCTCTGCCTTCTATATGATCTCATTTCCCTACCTAATTCTCTCCTCTGAATTTAATTGTGACTTCATTGAAGATGATTCTCCACACCTTATCTCTATCTCTAAACTATCTCTGAAACACTATAACATTTTTAGTTACCTACCAGAGATCTGTAATTAGATGCTTTTCCTATTCCTTAAGCTCAACACAGTCAAAATAGAATCCATCCTTATTCCCACAAAATCGATTTCTCCTGCTGACTTCCCTGTCACTACTATTTTCTTAGTTACCCATATTCTTGCTGTTGTTACTTTTTATTTTTATCCTGAACCTAACGAACACCAAATAGAATGATCATTTGCATAGACATAGTAGAACAGAAAGAGTATTATACATGAAACTGCAGGTCTCTATTATGTGTAGCTTGCTTTTCAAATATATAATAAAATCAGTTCATAGTTTTCAAGGCTATCTTTCTTATCTGGTCTTCCTTCTGTTCTTTTATCTCCATTCCTTAAAAAGATGCCTCAATGTCAGTCACCCATATTCAAACCTTATAGTCATCTGACTCTTTGCTCTCCCTCATCTTTCACATCAGCAAAATCACCAAGTCCCATTGGTTTTACCAATGCAATGGCTGTCCTATTGATTTCCTTCTTGGCATTCCTATTGACAACACCCTAGTTCAAGCCTTTGTTTTCAGCCAAAGACAAGGAAACAAGACAAAAGATCTCAAGGACCTCAACATTATGAAGATACAGAAGTAAGCCTTTTGAATATAGGTATAAACTCTAAGAAGTACCATGTGACAATCTTGAGTAGCAAGTACTCTAGGACACTTGAGGATAGGTGTTAGTAGTAATATGTCATTGATGTTATCTAGATTAACAAATTGCCAATGAACTGTTATAATATCATGGCTGTCATAATAATCTTCTCATTGGTTTCATGAAATTTTGGTTCTCCTTTCTCCAATCCATGCTCCTCATAATTGCCAAAATAATTTTCTGTTGGTACTAGTATGACTACGTACCTGGTAAAAACATTTTAGTGGTTCCTTCAGCCTATCTTTAGAGTATTTCCACATTCTGGCTCCTATCTACCTTTCTACCTTATTTCATGTTATTCTCCTTCACACAGTTGACATTCCAGATAACCTAAGTCACTGGCTGTTCCCTACACTTGACATTGCATTTCCTGCCCACAGGCATTCACACTAGTTCTCCTCCATGCCTGGAAAGTTCTCCTTCCTCATCTCTGTCTTTCAGAATCTTCATTTTCTTTCAAGACCTAACTCAGATGTTATTGCTCCCACGACGACTTCTCTGTCTCTCCTAGCGGACAGCACTTTCCCTGACCAAAAGATCTTGTATTTATCAGTAGGTACAACATTCTCCTCCCACCATCCTAGTAGAATGTAAGGTCTATGAGGGTAGGGATTGTTTTATCACTATCTTTGGATCCCCAGTACCTAGTATAGTCCCTTCTACAAAGTAGGCTCTCAATAAATGGTTGTTGAATTGATTAAATAGCATTCTACAGTAATAGAGTGAAATTAAATGGAATTATAGCAGAGTTGGATGGGGTTTCCAATGTAAGAGAATAAACATGGCCAAAGTAAATGAATGAATGAATGCATGAGCATTTATCAAATGTTCATTATGTGCAAAGCACTGTGGTAAGCACTGAGATAGTTTCTTCTGGTAGGGAACTCATACTGTAATTTGGGTAAATAACAGAGAAAAGAAAGTTCTGATGAAGTGTAGATGGACGGGCCTAGATTAAGACCATTCAGAGAATGGCAAGGCCCAGACGTAACTAGATTATTTCAAGAGTTAAGATGCCCTTGCTAGGGGACTGTAGGACAAGGAGGCAGGGAAGATGGTGAAACCTGGAAGATCTTAGGAGGCAGCTGCAAGGCAGAAGGTAAGGCCTGATGGTCCTTCTGCTCCTCAGAAGGATTAAAATTGTTAGTTTCAATCTCATTTAAACCCTTTCATCAACAAGCATCCCAAACAAGGGGGAAGGCAAAGGTGGGGGAAGCAGAAAGGATAGGGAAAGGTAGAAAATCCTAGCTTTGTTTTATTCTGTGTTGTCATTTGTGATTTGCTCTCTCTGTTCAGAAGATGACCCAGGGGTGTGCCGTGTGTGTGTGTGTGTGTGTGTGTGTGTGTGTGTGTGTGTGTGTGTCCCTTTTGTGTGATCATGGAAGCATTATATGACTCTCTGAAGTTTCAAAGAGAAATATGAAGTGGGATTTTGGCAGAATAGACAACAACGGGATTCTTCCGAAGGTTAGGGATTAACCAGCGATTTGGGGATGTGCTGTATGTCTTCTCTTTTATACAGAGGACCTAAGAGGTTTTGGCCATTAAGGTTCATTACCTGCGGCTTGAATAAGTCCCTCCAAACTAGTGTCCCCACACCTGGTTTCTCTCCCCACCCCCACCTCTTCTCTAATCAATCCCTTGCTTGGTGGTTAATCTTCTAATCTAATCTATCTAACTCTGATCAAGTTACTTCTCTGCCCTCGGAATTTCAATTGCTCTCTGTGGACTCTCACCCTCAGACTTCAAGGAACAGTTCTACTTTAATCTCCAACAACACCCCTTCAGATAGATTATGCTCCTGACAATTTGCACTATTCATTGCCCCAGGACAAATCCCTTGATTTCAAGCTTCCCTGCCTCCACTATCACTTGCTTTTCTTTTTATTTCTTCCTACCCTCACCGCCCCCCATCTTTTTTTAACTCTGCCTTTCTTTCAAGACCCAACCCAAATGACACCTCTTTTTAGAAGCCTTCTGATTTTCCCTATCAAATGTTCTCTGAAGTTCTCACAGAACTCTGCATAAGATGGTCAATTTTATGTTACAATGATTTATGCACTTCTTATTTCCCTCAACCTCTTAAGCTTTTCCAGAGGAGGAACTGTGTGTTCCTTTACCTTTGCATTTTCTCCAGCAGTTAACACAGTGAGTTTTATTTTTTTTATTTTAATGAATGAATGATTCTGAGTCTATACAGCCTCTGAGATAAGTTTCCAGCGTTTAGATTAGTTCCTGTATTATCAAGTTGGAGGGAAAGTACTCTGATGTAAGCAAAACACTTTACATACATTATCTCCTTAGATCCTCACAACAACCTTGGGAGGGAAACGCTAATCTTGGTTTTACTATGAATAAATGGAGGCTTATGGAGGTTATGACTTGCCCAAGATAATAATGTTTATCAGGGTCTGAGGCAGGATTTGAACCCACAGCTTTCTGTCTCCAAGTCTAGCTCTATCCACCTTGCCACAAAGTTTCCTTAGACATCTAGATAGGTAGGTAGGTAGATATTCCTTTTATCAGTAAATTTGCAAGTTCTCTTCCTTCAACTTGTTAATAAAAGAAATGATCCAAATTCTTTAAGCCTCTTTTGAGGGCTGTGCAGACTCAGTATCATATACAAATGTCAAGCTCTATTTAATAGATTTTATAGGCTATATAGATTATCACTAACAGAAAAAATGTTAATATTAAATGTAATATTACCTGCCACTCCCACTTAATGATCCTAGTAATGTCTGGTATTCCAGTAAAGCCCTAGCATTCCGGCTACTCTCAATTAGGTTGAATCGAGCCACACCTAAGTCTCTACCCTGGGACCTTGCAAACAAAGCCAGCTTCAGGCAGACCAGCTTCCTAAGTAGCTTCTGCTGTCCTTATCCCCTTCCATTGGGATTAAAGGCATGAAGGGCAAAACAGCTAGAATGAAATGGTTTTCCTTGCTTGGAATGCCAAGGTTGGCTGGCATCTCATGACCAGGCCTTGCAACTTAATATGATCCCCTCCCTCTTTTCTCCTGAAAACATAAGAACCTTTCCTATAAGTCTCCTGGTGAGACATCCCCTAGGGTGGCAGGTTTGCTAGCTACCCTGTTATCTCAGTTAAAGATGCTTTATTCCTCCACTTAAGAGTTTGATTTATTTCAGTACTTGAGATTATATGTAATAAGTGTACATAATAGGTATTATATAAATATATAACATAAAAAGTGATATGGACCGCAATGAATAGCACATAATATAAACTATGTAATATAAAATGTAATATGCACATATATGGGGGGAGTGCGATCAGGGATCCCCTGACGGATTGAGCTCAACCTACTTGATTGAAATGGTAGGACCTCAGACATTGAGTAGTTACTTGCTGGGAATAAGGGCACAGGACTAAAAAAAGAAGAAGAAAAGTCCTTTCAGACTTTTATTGATCTATTTGAATATGAAAAGATTGAGAAATCAGAATGTAGGTCTTAGCTGTCGTTGTTCAGTTGTATCTGACTCTTCATGACCCTGTTTGCAGGTCTTTTGGCAAAGATACTGGAGTGGTTCACCATTTCCTTCTCCAACTCATTTTACAGAGGAGTAAACTGAAGCAAACAGGCTAAATGATTGCCCAGGGTCACACAGCTAGAGTGTCTGAGGCTATATTTGAACTCAGAAAGACGAATCTTCCTGACTTCAGACCCAGCACTCTATCCACTGTGCTACCTACCTGCCCTATATGGGTCCTTGAATCTTCATTGAATGAGGGGAAATTTCAGACTACAGGTAAACAAGAATTGAGAAGGCTACCATTTGCATAAATTGGCTTTGTAACTAACAGACCTGTGTTCAGGAAGCAGTCTCTTCAGAAGCCCTTCAGATTTAATGTCTTCCTTCCTACATTTCTATTCATCAAAAAGAATCAGCACATAAACACCCAGCTTCTGAGCTGTATGCCTACTGCACCTCTTACCCATGGCATTACTGTTCATTAGGAAAACCCCAAATGATAAACCACTGTCGTCTTCAAGGCAGAGGAAGAATGTCTGAGCGCCATATAAGTTACTCATGTTCTGTAGAAAACACATACACATACACATAAAACAAAACAAAAGCAACAGAAAATTATAATTGAATGTTTTTTAAAAATGTTTTAAGTACCCTTGGTATAGAACCAAACAAAACACTATTTACATGGACAGTACTAGGATTCTTTGAGAAAAAAGACTCTGTTCTGGGGTTGTTTGGCCTAGAGCATGAACTCTTCTAGGAGATTAGAAGCTCATTAATTTTAATTTATTTATTTTAATTTCAGCATTTTCAATAATTGGAAGGGCTCTTAAAATCTCCTTCTTTCTATGCCACAAGATCACAGTTTATCATCTGATGCAGGGCCCAAATCACTGACAATGCTGCTACTGCTGCTTCTGAGGATGACTAATTATCTAAACAAATAACGAAAATGCTATAGAAGTAGAATTAGAAGCCGAAAGAAAGTAGATACTATCTTTGAAAAAAAAAAGTGAGCATCAAGAAATTTGAATAAAAATTGAAGCTATGATCATCAGGGCATAAAGGCTTTAGGATATTTTAGATGGTTCAGATTTAGCCCTACTGAGAAAGGGAAAACCAATTCTTCCTCCATGACGGCCAAGTCAAAACCACATGCTTGGTCTACTACTTCCAGTAAAAAAGTCTTGAGAAATACAGATTCTCAACCTAGAGAAATTTAGAGTAGAAAAACTAACATTAAGGAATGTCTAGATCCCTTGCTCATGTTTGTTTCAGGAAACATGTTCCCTTATTACTTCAGACACTGTTGGGTGTCTTTCAATCAATGTATTTCTCCCTACCTTGGTCTCTCTACCCATGTACTGTATTTTATAGCATCACATTTCTTCTTTAACCTTCAGATCAAATCAGCACCTCCCACAAATCATTAGAAAACAATGTCTGAACAACCAAATGACTTGTATTTTCCTACAGCAGATTGTTGGTGAGGGCCTGGGGTACAGAGGAAGAATAATAGATCCTGGGGATCTTTTTGGTCCAACATGGAGATAGTGTAGCCTAGTAGATGGAGTAATGGATTTGGAGTCAGGAAGATCTGCAGTCAAATCCTGTTTCTGGAACTTATTAACTATATGAACAAGGGCAATCAATTTAACCTCTATGAATGTCAGTTACCTCATCTGTAAAATAAGCATAACAATATCTGTAGAGAACTGTGAGGCTCAAATAATGTATGTAAAGGGTTTTGCAAACTTGTAGTTCTTTAAAGCAGAGGTTCTTAAACTTTTTCTACTCTTGACCCCTTTTTGTGTTTCAGCAGCATTCATTGGCATCGCATGGCATGAGGGCATGCACAGTGCAAAGTGCGAGCCCTCTGTATTTGGAATCAAGACTGCCATGAAGTTGCACAATGCAACATGGCCAAGCGCTGCCAGAAACACCTTGGATTCATTACGTGTTAGATTTTGAATTAATTTTTGATCATTGCACATTCGGAAACCCTTTACTATTGCCAAATTTTTCACAGCCCCATATGGGATCATGGCCCACAGTTTAAGAAGTGCTGCAAGCACTACATAAATATCATTTTCTTATTAACAGTAGATGTAGATAGGTATTGTGTTTTTACCTCTAGGTTTTTAATCTATTGTGTCAGGTGTAAAATTAACTCTGACTACAATACAATTATGGTTTGTGACTCAAGTAGTCTATAACTATTTCATCAGAATATAACTTTTCCTTCAAATATGTGACTCTTAAAAGTTCACTGCATCTTTAAAATTTCTATGTCCAAGTTGTTCCTTCCCTCTAAACATGTGTGTGCATATAAAACTTTATATCAAAATTAGTAGGAAGATTAGACACACTAATATATAAAAATTCACCAAATAAATAACTTTCCACATGTTGATCTGCTCCTGAAAATGAGGTATGGCAAAGATGGCATAGTAGAGTCCTCACATCATTAGGGATGGCATCCCTGGTGAAGATAGGCCAAGTTTTCCAGTCCATATTATGAAGGTACTGCTGGTGTATATGTTCCCCAAATCCATACACATAGTGACTGGGCAACTGGACAGAGAGCTGCAGGTATTGCTCAGCATATTGGAGGGGCCCAATGCTTGTGTCAAACCTGGACACACATGGAAAGAAGCAAGAAAAAGTCAAGGAACAATTTTTTTTTCCAGGAAACTTTATCTGCTCTCGTTTCCCATACTCACTACTCAGCCAGCTGTTTTTCCTATGGCTAAAGCAATATTTACCAGGATACCAGTATACCAGGGCTTGACTGCCATGTTGGCTTAGACTAGCTCTCTCTAGAAGTCAAAGAAGCTGTCTCCAAAATTTGATTGGCCCAAGGCATGTCATCATCAGTCCAGCTTCCCATTTGGCATCCTCTGCAAGGTTAATAGAATTTGAGGTGTGCTTTTACCAAGGTAAATGGAAAACAAAAATTATCCAGAGCAGTACTTTTTAAACTAGAGGGACATGCTTTGTGTTCAGAACCAAGGCTGCCATGAAGTTGTGCAATGCAACACGGCCAAGCACTGCCAGAAACAACTTGGATTCATTGCACGTTTGATTGTGAATTAATTTTTGATCATTGCATGTGTAGAAACCTTTTACTGTTGCCAAATTTTTCACAGCCCCATGTGGGGTCATGACCCACAGTTTAAGAGCACTGAAGGGATTGGGAGTGGAAAAAGTTTAAGAAGCCCTGAATTCTAGAGTTGAGACAGCAGACCTTTAAGTTTTATTCTTGTTATGAGCATCTTGTTTCTGTACGGCAGCATTCATTATTTATTGTGGACACTTACAGCACTAAGACTTTGGTGGTTATGAAATATTAAGAAATAATGTTTTAACAGTATTACAAAGACAGAAATCCTTGGTTTCACATCAATGGAAAACTTTTCCAGGCTTTCTCTACTAGAAGACAATGCCAAAGAGACAATGTCCATCTCTGAAGTTCTTGATTTCATTTGAACCAAAGTTTTATTAAATTAGTAGACACTATTCAAGTTTAGGAAGGGATCTTGGTTCTCTGAAATGAAGAGAATTAGTTTTATTTATGGTGACCAAACTAAGAGTGGAATGACAAAGTCATCACCTTTGGCCAGATTGAAAGGGGAAATCTTTAGAGAGGGCGTGGTTAAAGAGGGACAGGTGGTTTCCAGAAAATATGTCTGTAAGGTGAGCCAAAGTTTATATCAGTCCTATTCCTTTGGAACAAATCCAAAAAATTGCTAAACCTCAATGTCATACCTTTGTTTAGTTTTGCCTGTGGAATGTTTTCTTTTGTTTCATGATTACTATAAATTGTTCATGGAATTATTTGGGTTGGGGAGAATTCTAATTAGCAGGGGAAACTTTGCCAGTTTGGACCTCTCTCTCCAAGCAGAAATATACATATATTAACAAGTTGTCTCTGACAGATATTGGCTAAAATGAAGAGTAGAGAGTTCTTCTTCCTTAGTATATTTTGCTTCTTTGATCCCTAAAGGCATCCTGGTTTAGATCACTGACAATTACACAACTCAACTTTGCACTTCTCACAGAGGACCTTGTGGTCACAATTTGGGTTTGTCAGTCTTGTAGAAGACAATGTTAACAAAATTTACCAGGTTCAGAAACTTTAAGCAGGATGGTATAACCAGTGCTTTTTTCCAGGGCACCAAAATTTAGAGCACCCCATTAGCATCATCCCCAGACTCACTTCTTACCCTATCCCACGCCTCCCCACCAGTAACCAGTCCTTCAGGAACACAGACACCTCAAGCTACCCCAGGGTCTAGTTCATTCCAACCTTCTCCCTAGTGGCTGAGCTCCAGTTGAGCCCTCTCCTATCTCCACCATCTTGCTTTCGACTCCCTCCCTTGATTCAGGTGCAGAAGTACCTGGTTTCAGTTCTGCTTAGGTTAGGATTCTATTAATGAAGAGGAAAAAGATAAGATTCTATACATTCAGACACAACCCATCACCATTATGCCAGACCTGGCTAAGAACAGATTTTCTAGTTCATATGGAAAACAAATAATCAAGCAAACAAGAAAATAAAAACTGAGTGAGTTGTCAAAGGAAGAGGGGAGGGTGGGGAAAGGACCACATTGGTATCATAGGGGTCCTAGCTAAATTCACCCCTGTTGAAAGTTACATATCAACAATAGTACCAATGTGCCCCTATCTTGTAGTCTAGCATTCTTTGATCATGTCTAAACTTCTAAGTAAAAGATTGATAGTTATATGATCCAACTAGACTCTGTGGCAAAATATACCTCTTCCAGTATCCAACAGGAATTCCTCTTAGAAACTTGTTTGTAAATCTGTGTTAATTAATTCACTTCAAAGTAATAAAAATTGAATTTCTTTGAACATTTTTGGACTTTCAAACTTTTTTTTTCCAAGTCAGCCTGGTTTCTCCAATAAGAAATGGTAAGATTTGGCAATATAGTCAATGCACAAAGAAATGCTCACAGGACTCTGTTGTTTTTTGTCCTTCTTATTTTGATGCTGAAGGGATTATTGGTGACTTCTACATGGTAGTTCAAATTGGAGGCTGCCTTTTGGTCTAACGATTGAACATGTTCATGGGGGACCTCATACCGGTTCCTGTCAGGATTACTGATCTGCCAGGAGAGAAACAAAGGACAGAAAAACCAGAATTGGAAAGGAGGTCAGATACTTTCTGGTTCAATCCAAAGGACCTTAAAAAAAAAATCATTTCTACAGCATCTCCAGGAAGGACTCATCCAGCCTAGGTTATTAAAGGGAAACTCAGTACCTCAAGGAAATCTATTTCATTTGGGGGCAGCCCAAATGAAAGTGTAAGGAAAACCTTCCTTATACTGAGGTAAAATCTGCCTCCTTTAAATTCAATATGGGACAAAGGACTAACTCCAAGCTTACCCTTCAAACCATCCCCCTGAAGGTACCCTACCCCTATCCATGACAGTTTTGAGAATTCTCATGGCATTTTCTCTGGTGGCAGACAAGTTCGAGGATGCAGGGAAGATCTATATCTCTATCCATGACAGTGTTTTGAGAATTCCCATGGCAGTTTCCCTGGTGGCAGACAGGCTCGAGGACACAGGGAAGATCTATACTTCCATGTACTCATTCTCACCACTGCTGCTCTAGTATTCAGGATCTCTCCTTCGAAGAGCTTCCTTAGTTAATAGTGTGAGAATTCCAGAGGAAGCAGGGCATTTGGGGCATTTACTGGGCCAGCTTATGTCATCTTTGAATAACTGATAGTTAAATTTTCAGCTTGAGCATTTACACCTCAGAAACTCTCAAAAGCTACAAATCGGGGCTTGATTTATTGTTTTATTGATTTTCCAGACTTAAGAAAGTGACAGAAAAAATGTTAATAATGCAAATTAAACCAAAAGTATGTCATGGGTACATCTTATTTTTTTCACAGTGGCTGGTAAACATTTACCAGCAAACTGCTGAAATCTCTTGCTTCTGGGGAGTAATCTAAGGTGACCACAGTTCAGCTCTGCATCCTCTCCGTGCCTCACCACTGTGCCCTGCTACCATCACACTGGAAATAGCTCCAACTCCATAAACTCTGTCATGGTAAGTGGGGAGCAGTATGCCACAGTGGAAGTTGGCACACCTAGCCTCTACTCCCTAAGCTTTGCCGCTAACTGGCTGGATGACCTTGGGGAAGTTATTTCCCTCTCTGAGCTTTAGTTTCCTCAGCTGTGAAATGAGGGGGTTGAGTCACATGATCTCTAAGATTCCTTCTAATTCTAATATTTTTAGACTTTAAATTCTGCCTCAGAAATATTCTACTCAGTACCCTGGGGTATTGTGGATATGTTTCTAATCTGCTAAAATTCCACCTTCTACAGGAAGTCTTCCCCAACCCTTTTTAATTCCAGTGCCTTCCCTGTTATTTCCTATTAATCCTGCATGCAGTTTGCTTTGCATGTATTCATTTGCATGTTGTTTCCCTCATTAGACTGTGAGCTCCTTGAGGGCAGGAACTGTCTGTTGCCTCTTTTTTGTATCCTCAGTGCTTAGCACAGCTCCTGGCGCACAGTAGGCACTTAAATAACTGTTTATTGATGGATTGAGGCTATCTGACCATATCTCTTCCTTAAGATTAAAAGTAGGAATTTTGATTTCTTATTATAATGAATATTATGGGGTTTGGGGTGGTTTTTTATTTTGTTCTGTTTTGTTTTTTAGCAACAATGCTTTAATGTTTATGATCCCAAGTATTATTATCCCCGTTTTACAAATGAGGGAAGTGAGGCTCAGGGGTTTAAGTGACCCTTGGTCACACTCATGGGTACTAGATCCTGGATTTAAATCCAATATCAAGTCTAGGGCTCTTTCCATTATACCATGCTGTATCTCCATGTTGCTTAGGTTTATGAAATCCTAGATGGAGAGCCAGAAGGGACCTTAGAGGTTATCTAGCCCAGCCCCTCCATTTCACAGAAGGAAAAATTGAGTCTCAAAAAGTTTAAATGACTTGCCCAAGGTCACACAAAAAATGTAAGAGGTAGAATTTGAACACAGGTCTTCCCTTTGATTCCAGTGCTCTTCCCACTGTGCTACGATTCCACGTCCTTTTCCCTCTGCAGTAATGTACAGAGAGATCTGTTTAACATGTAACATTCTTAATAAATGTAGCTCCTTAGATAACTCCCAAACCAACCTTAAAACGAAAGCGATTAGTTGTCTGGTATTCTGCTGTGAGAAGAAGGTCGGTGATGTCATATCCAAACAGAGATGAGGAGGGTAATCTTCTCAAATTGGCTGTAAATCCTGAGAAGGGAAAGAGACAGAGACAGAGACAGAGAGATAGAGAGATAGAGACAGAGAGAAGGACAGAGAGAGACAAAGACAGAGAGAGACAGAGAGGGGGAGTGAGTGAGAGACAGAGAGAGAAAAAGAGAGATGGGAGGAAGGGAAGAGAGAGACAGACAAGAGAGACAGAGAGGGAGGGAGGGAGAGACAGAGACAGAGACAGAGAGATAGAGAGAGAGATAGAGACAGAGAGAGAGATAGAGACAGAGAGAAAGACAGAGAGAGACAGAGAGGGGGAGTGAGAGAGAGAGACAGAGAGAGAAAAAGAGAGATGGGAGGAAGGGAAGAGAGAGACAGAAAAAGAGGAAGGGAGGGAGAGACAGACAAGAGAGACAGAGAGGGAGGGAGGGAGGGAAGACAATCAGAAAGACAGAGAGACAGAGAGAGAGAGAGAGAGATATCCATTCTATATTATTGGCTCATCTGCGCAGTACTTATTCTATTGGCTAAGTCAGCACTGAGCAATATCTACCTTCGTCTGTATGTGTGGGACCCTCAGTGACTTGATAGCCCCCATTTTTGGGGAAGAAGCAGGAGGGGGCACTGCTGTTTTCCTGAGGCTTCCAGCAACACTGGCGGAGGTGGCAGAGTTCCTGTGATGAAGATGCATAGAGATCACAATCTGGACAGCACTGATGCTCATGTCCCAGACCAAAACTCAGTCTCCTGGGGTATATGTCTTACAAGGCTATCCTAAGTCTTCCCTCCCACCATTGCCTCCTAGCTAAGTGCGACCTATTGACCTTTGATTCCATCCACTCTACTTCAGGGGAGGAAGTTACCATTTGGCCATTTTCTCAGGTATCTCTGACCCCAGTTCCCTTTGGCAAAAAGATGGTGATGGTTTTAACAAAACAGGATTTTCTTTTAATGGCTTTATGGTTTTTTCATCTTCAGTCTCTGATCCCTTCCCCCACCCACACAAACACCCTAGCTCCATGCCCATGCTCTAAAGAGGGTGGAGAAAAGCTTCCTTCTATGTCCTGTACACTCTAGAGTCTTGAGTACTTTAATATTTACTCTGTCCTCATGCAATCAATTGAGTGGAAACCACCTTGGACGCAGGATTGGTAAAGTCCTCCTTGCGTGTCTGGATCCTCATGGTCCCCGTAATCTCTAGCCTTTCCTCCACTGCAATCAAGTAAGTGATAATGTAATGGTAACATAATGTTGGCATCACACCAACCTTCTAATTAGAATCTTGGACCCAATTTATTTTAAGAACTTCTACTTATTTGGTTGGAGTACCTTCTGTCCTATGTCTAGCAAAACCCAGTCTTCTGCTCCTCTAATTCCTGCCTTTTAGAACCACTATCTCCCTGGGTGAAAAACTCATTTCCTCTAATGCCCCTCCATCTCTTCCAATACTCGCCTGAGCCCTAGATCTCCCTGGTCATTCTCCTTCTTGACCCATCCCTTTCTGTGTGCCTTTCACAGCCCTCAATCTGTTGTGAATAAGTTTCCTTTCATCCTTGAGCTCTTATTTCTATGCTCCTTCCAACTCCCAGCACCAACTAAAACCAGTTTTTCCCCTTAAGACCCTATATCCTTTGCTATCCATGACAAGGGTTGTTTGCTTGCCACCTGATTCACAGTTGGCATTCTGTACTCCTCACTTCTCTCCCCACTGCCACTTAACAGGCCTTTGCTCTGCTCCAATCCTTCTACTGCCTGTCCCCTTGAAGGGCCATCTCACATCACTCTCTATATCACAGAATCACAGAACATCAGAACTGGAAGTGACTTTAGAAAGCATCCCACTTCCACATTTCCCAGGTGAGGAAACCACTTCTCTGAGAGTAGATGGCCTGCCATGCAGATAGCAGGCTCTTGACTTGAACTCAAATCTCCTGGCCCCTAGCTGTCTTTCCATAGCACCACACAGCCTTGTCCTGTTAGTGATAAACACACACACACACACACACACACACACACACATGCAATCTTGATTTTCTCAAGGCAAGATACGTTGCATATAAAACTATCAAGGAGAAAGCTGAGACTGTTCATGTTAAGACACTGACTAGAATTCTAACATCAAATTTCAATAGGAAACCATCCAGAGCTATTGATGCATATGCAATACCACTCTTACTGTGTACTTTGGGCACAGCAAAGCATATGATAATAAATTGTCTTGTACAATGTTAATGAAACACAGGGCTAATCACACAAATGCAGCCCTGTAAAAACTCACATTTCCTTATCAAAAATGAGAAAAGGGAATGACAAAGATTCTCAGAGAGCATAATAATAATAACAATAATGACTAATAATGATAATGATAATAACTAGCATTTACATACATTTACATGGCCCCTTCTATATGCTGGGCATTGTGTTAAGCACTTTTTACAAATATATCATTTCATCCTCATAATAACCCTGTGATGTAGGTGCTGTTATTGTTTCCATTTTACGACTGAGAAAACTGAGGCAAACAGAGGTTAAGTAACTTGCCAAGGTCACACAGCTAGTAAGTAACTATGGCTAGATTTGAATTCAGGTCTTCCTGACTTGAAGCCCACTGTTCTCTCCATTGCACTAGCTAGTTAATGGAACAAACAGCTTCCCTGAACAAAGTAAATAAAGGCTCACAATAGGCATCTCACAAGGCTGGTGAAATAGATTATCTCTAGGAAAAGTTTATGGAAAACTCAGATCCAAGAATGGAATCCAAAAGCGCTCTGTGGCTCATACCCACGTGAATTGAGTCAACAATACGTGGACAAAAATACACCCAAGAAATGACTGGGTGATGCAGACTTGTGTATAGAAATGAAAACGTTTATGACAGTGATTCAGGATTGGTCATTGCCTCCAAAAGGTATGGAAAGGTATTCCTGAAGGAGCCCAGGCTCATTAATTGAAGATTATGGAATTAGTTGGTCAAAATTGTACAATGCAACACTTCTGGAAGAAATGATTTAACATCTACTGGGTACTTAGACATGGTCGTGTTGTTAGGATTATGCAACAGAAGTTTATTATTCTGAATAAACTATAAGATTATGAATCCTTCCCCAACAAATACAAGCCCTCCCCACCAAAATCCTTCAGAACAAAGAAAGCTATGCTGGAAACAGTGCCTCACTACAGACAGGAGTGTTGCCTACAGTTGCTGGAACCCAACAATCATCCATCAAAATTGAAGAACAACGTTTTAAATAGATGTCAGTATGTTGAAAACTGATCATCTTCAAACCACATAGAATGTAAAGCCTTCAAAATATAGAAACCTAGTTGAAGACATTCAAATCATGAGAGAATAGCACACTGTGCACATCATCCCTATCATCTGTCTGCTCCTAGAATTGTCCCAACAATGCTTTCAGTCATTCTACAGAAGATGTGCTTCATCTTAATATTCTTATTCAATTTAGAAAAGGTCATTTCCTCCACCTGAGCAATAGTCTTAGAATATTAAATATACAAGAGTAATAGTAAGATAGTGACTTATCCTGAGACTGCTTCTATCAGAACTTCATCAAAATAAATTATTCTCTTCCTTATTGTTTTGGTAGGAGTCTAGGCCCTATGTAATAATTTACCACAGCAAATTCTGACTCAGCTTTTATGACTTCAGGTCTAGAGTTTGGAGATTTACCGTATGACTTCTTCATTCTCCTATTAAAATGGAGAAGCAAATATTATCACATCTTTGTCTCTCTTTCCCCCAACCTTCAGCTAGCATTTAAATCTTAAAAAAAAAAAAAAGATGTACCACCATCATCACCATCAAGGACAAGACTTAGTCCAAATTAATAAATCAGTACTGAGGAAGTTTAGGTAGGTACTCATGACCGATCCATGGGAAATTGTAGGGAAACTGATTTTTATATTCAATTATCATGTAATGTCTGATATGGAAAATTTTGCCAATTACACAACACCATCTTTCTCCCTGTCATAGGATAAAATTTGTCTAAAGTTAAGTCATCATCTTCTTCTTCCCTAAACTGGCCCTTTCCCTAATTTTTTTTGAGTATTAAGGGAGGGAGGGAGGGAGGGAGGAAGGAAGGAAGGAAGCACGAAGGAAGGAAGGAAACAAGCAGCTATTAAGTACTTACTGTGTACACATGCTTTGCCTGACTCAACAAGACTTCCTATAAAACTATAAATGGCATAAATAATAAATGCTGACTAAAAAATCTGGGATATTTCTAATCTTCCATTGTGCATTGTTTGGGGCCTCCGTTAGCACATGACTCTGACTCAACATAAAAATTCCAATTTTCCTCAGTGCTATGGTGATGTAATTCTTTTTAGTAACTTTTGATATGGAATTTTAACAAAGGCTCTTTGAAGGTGAAGCTATATCTCCTACTCTACTTCTCTTTTCTCACCCTACCTATTTATCTTTTCAAAGAACTGTAATAGGTTATTTCTCCTTAAAGAAACCATATGTCCTTTCTCCCACTTTATGGCCTCTATTTAAGTGCTCAATGAGCCTATCTTTCAAATCTAGCAACCTACATAAATATAGAAAACCTTTCTGCTCTGTACTTTCCAGGGTTTCCCCTCTTCTCTTATAAATGGGGGCCTACAGTGCAATCTGGCCAGCTCTCGGGCATAAGTTGCAGACTCAAGGTTTACAGTAAGAATCTCAAATTTCTAATTAATAGGTCATCTTTGCCTATTAATAGGATGAAGATCCAGCTCTAGAGATGGCAGAGACCTCAAAGTTCATCTAATTTAACCACCTTATCCTTCAAATGAGAACAATAAAGTCAGTGGTTGTTCATTGAATTGTTCAAGGCAATATATAGCTAATAAGAGGTGGAATTTGAACCCAAGTCCTCTGGCTCCAGTTTAGCCTCAGACATTTACTAGCTGTGTGATCCTGGAAAAGTCAGTTAACCCTATTTGCCTCAGTTTCCTCATCTGTAAAAAGAGCTGGAGTAAGAAATGGCAAGTATGGTATTGTTCAGTTGTTTGAGACAAATACTATACCTAAAGTAATCGGAATTTTATTATCTAGCTATACATGGAGACAGGCCCTATGGGCAGTAACATTTCTGTCTTCTGTCTCAATCTCTCTCCTACTCTATCATCTAGCATCAGAACCATTTCTAGCTCAGACCCTTGGACATCAAATATCTAGGAAGCATTCCAATCTCTACCCACAGGTCTGCACTAAATTGTTCCCACAAGCTAGCACTTTGGGCAGTCCCCACCAACTTCCCCATCCTCTTCCCCATACATCTCTGTAGAGAGAACTCCAATAGAATACAATATGTATAAATGGCCCCAATGATACATTCAACTCCCCATGCCCCACAACCACCACCACCAAGTACCACTTTCTACTTAATAAGGTGAAAGGAACCCATTTCTCAAACCTCTGTTGCCAACTTGTCAGGAATACAATCTATCCTTTCTGTCAGGTTGGTATCCAGGCACTCTGGAGTAAAGGAGGTGTCTGCATAGGAAGTTAAAGAGTAGAGGTGAAAAACCTCCATGGCCACTGTCACCCCCCCTCCAAAAAAAGAATGAATGACTTAGAAACAATCCACAGCCTCACTCCCTTGGAAAATCAGCAGAGGGGAAAAGATCTAAAGCTCATCTAGTCTAAACTGAGGTCCAGAGCACTGTATAGGCAGTATAGGTCATATAGGTCACATAGGTAGTAAGTTGGATCTTAGATTTGACCTTACTAGATTGTGACCTAAGACAAGTTATTTAAAACCTGTGGGCCACCATTTACTCATGCTATGCTATGCATGCAACCCATGCAACCCTTCTCAACTTCTTGAAGGCTACATTGCAGGATTTGTCCTTGTGTGGCCAATCCCAATTTTGTGTAACTGTCATTTTATTTGAAAACTGATCGTTATGAATGGCATTACAGCTGGAAGAGTTATTAGAGGTCCTGTGATCCAACCCCCCTCATTTTACAAATGAGGAAACAGTGGCCAGAAATGGTTAAGGAACTTAGCCAAAATCAATGACAAAGACAATGAGGAGTCCAGCTGGAATTGGAATACAGGTCCTTTGACTTTAAATCCAGTATTCTTTCCAGCTTATGTATAAGATCTTATTATATGTATAACAATTTATGGTTTGGCATACATTTTCATGGTGTGCCATGGGTTGAGGAGGGGTAGCATTCTGGTAGTTCTGGTCGGTAGCTGAGAAGGGAATTACCTGAAAGGAATTGATCTATGAGCAAAAAATAAAGCAATCTTAGACAATATGGATAGCAATGGATTGGCCCATTATAACTGAAGCGAATAGCTTTAGCCTATCTCAGTTACTTAGCTCTTAATTCAGTTGAAGGAAAAGAGATTGACAGTGAGAATAATGGAACCTGTGGTTCTTCCCGATAGAAACATGTCAGGGTGACAGGAAAAGAATGACAGAATCAGTGGTTAAATGGAGCACAACCACCATGCCAAGAAATGTATCTGAAAGAACAAATCTCAATTCTCCAATCATTTAAGTACCAGGCACTTCTCTAGGTAGGTTGGGTACATCTAGGCACATGGCTCAATTAAAATAATAGGCCCATTTGACTAAAGAAGTGCTAGCTATAGCAATGACAGGAGAATAAAGTTAAAACTATAAATATCAAGAAAGAAGGGATAAAATTATCCCATTTGCTAAGCAAAAAAGAAACCAAATGAAACAATTAGTAGCTTCAGAAAGATAATAAGATAAAAAACCAATGCTCCTCAAAACTCCTCAAAGAGTTTTTATTCTACTGGGTTTGGGCAGGATACAGCATGTACTTGAATAGAATAGACAGCAAATTGAGGAAGGAGAAAGCACTATCAATAGTAAGAGAAAGAAATAAGTTGCAAATGAGCTTTAATTATTAAATAGTAGAATTTAAATGTATTTGTAAATGATAGAAGAGACAACTTGGTGCAAAGTAAAGAGAATTTCAAGACAAATGTTTTCCTATACCATATTCTCACAACTGAGACCCACACAGGGATTTTTGTTTTTTTAAAAAAACCCAACAACAACCCTTCCCAACTCTGTAAGCTCCAAGTGTCATGTGAATTTTACCTTGAAGATTCTCTATCAGAAGCCTCAGCAAAATGGCCATAATGCCCAAAACGATTAGGAAGAGGACGAGCAAATGGACTGCCAAATTGAAAAGTTTCTTGGCCATCTGGGGAAATACAGACAGCTCAATTAAAGTAATCCCCCAAATTACATAGTTCTAGAAATACTAGCTATAACTATGTTACAGGAATAAAACTAAAGATGTAAAACTAGACAAAGAAGAAATAAAATAATCATTATTTTTAGATGCCATGATGGCATATTTAGAAAGTGCCTGTAAATGAGTTAAGAAACCAATGAGGCAATTAAGTCCTTCAACAATATTACAGTATGCAAATAAATAAATCCACAAAATAATCATTTCTATACATTACTTACAAAACCAAGAACTGATAAGTGGAATTCCATGAAAATAATTTTAAAAGAATAAAATGTCTGGGAGTTAACCTATCAAGACATATGCAAGATTTATAAAAATATAACCACAAAACAATATTTGTAGAGATAAAGAGTATGTGAGAAGGGGGGTGATCAGAAGAGCCCCTGATCAGAGAAATCACAGAATTTGAGAGTGGTAAGGGACCTCAGCATCCATCTAGTCCAATCTATACACAAAAGGAATGCCCATTATCAGTTTGTTAAGTTCCCCACTCAACTTGAGATTATAGGAACATAGACCTTTTGTCTGAAGGACATCTGGTTGGGCAGGGGAGTGGGAAAAGAGGGAGACACATGGACACGTACCTGGCACCTTGCTGAAAAAAAAACAGGGCCTTCTTCTGATTGGTTTCTGGTGACTGGGGCTGACTCCAAGAAGGGCAGTGACTGAGAATTAGAGAGACTTTTTGTTGATCCTTTGTGGTCTATAGAAAGACCAACATGGCAGTTCTCTTGCTCTTACGAACTCTTTTCCTTTTCAGTTTTGGCTTCTGCCATGTGCTTCTTCTCTAAATTGCCATTCTTTGCTCCACAGATGGAAAAGAGATAAATCATCAACCCTGACCTTGATGTACCCTGAAAGTAGACACAAGAGAAAAGGCAAAGAGAGAGCCCTGAAGAGGGAGAATCTAGACAAATGGGCTTAGATTGGACTCAAGGCTACATTTTATAGCCCAGAGGTGGGGCAGATCCTCAGACAAAAGTCTGTTTTGATTCTCCTATCAGTTATCAGGAGGAAGTCTCAGCTTTTGAAATCCAGTCACTGATGTACCAGTGATCACGCCTACATTGCAACTAACTGGAGAGCTATTTACTGCTAATGGTTAGAAAGTGCTAATCTAATAATAACTCACAGATTTAGTTTATGATCAAAATCAAACTGCTTACCGGATACTGAACAAAATAATTTTTTAAACATTTGGAAAAATAAATAATCTATAATCTCAAGGAAAATCATGAGGAAAAAAAGGTAAATGAAGAGATTTTAGCATTGCCAGACAACAAAATATATTTTAAAATAGTAGTTATCAAAGTGTTTTGGTACTGGTGAAAAACTAATTAACAACAGAAAAGTAGGTTAGTGGAATGGGCTAGATAAGAAAGGAATGATAACAATCAAAAACAGTAGACCAATATTTGATAAAATTTAAAACATTATTAAGAAGAGCACTCCCTTTTTGACAAAAATGATTAGGAAAACTATAAAGTAGTCTGGCAGAAATTAGACTTAGACCAGCACTTTATACTATATACTATAATAAGCAAGCTCAGATCAGAGATCAGATTCCTTTCACAACAACCAAAAGTGAAAAGGGTTGACAAATACATCACTCAGGTCTCTTCCAACTCTAAACTTGCAATGATTTTATGCTTCTACTACCAGCATAAGTCTTTGTTGGGGGGAGAGGGACAGGAAGAGTTTTGTTTTATTTTGTTTTGTTTTGTTTTGTTTTGGAAAAAGGAATGCTTTTATGGGAGTTAAAGTAGATAGGTTCATTCATTATGTACTTCAAAAAAATCAGTGATTTTGTGTTCTTCATCTATTGCCTTAGAATGATGAAGGTAGGAGTATCCTTTCTACCGGAGACTGGCACTTATTCTCTCTTTCTCCCAATGGAGAGAAAATTCCCTTATTTTCTGTGATCCTAGTTTTTAAGTAAGCATCTTGAAAAAAAAGTTAAGACATAGAGGAGTCCAAAAATTAGACTTAGATGTCATTTTTATCTCAGTGGAGGGCCAGATTAGAGTCCACATTTTATCTTTTTTCTTCCTTGAACAATTGAAGTACTTGGGGGGGGGGGAAGGCACAAGCATTTATTAAGCACCTACTATATAACGGGCACGGTGCTAAGCATTTTTACAAATAACAGCTCATTTGATATTTGGGTCTGTTTCACCGCACCCACAGCTCTTGTACACTGGATCAAACTTAAGGTTCTGGCTAGACAGAAAAGTTTAAGGTATAGGTCAGAACCACTGCAAAAGACACCAAAGCTGTCTAGAAAGTAACTAGTAATAGGTTAAATTCCTTTGTATCACCTGCTGTCCAGATCTTTAGCATCAAGTTAAGCCACTTTGAGTGTCATCAGAATAGTACCAATAAAGTGGGGTTTCTTAAACCTTTTTTTTCTTACCCTAGGCCTCTTTGGTTGTCTGATAAAGCCTATGAACCCCTTCTGAGAATGTTTTTAAATGAATAAAATCGACTACCTAAGACTATAAAGGAAGCTAATTAGATTGAAATACAACTTTCAAAATATTTTCTTTAAATTCATTGACTCCAGGTTAAGATGCCCTGCACTAAATTAAAGAAAAACAATCTTTTTTTTTAAGAAAATTGGAATTTCCTCCTTTCTCAAGTATTAACTCTTTAAAAAAAAAAGCAGAAAACATTGTCTCCATTCTTTCCTCTGCTTTCTGTTCCCTCACCCTTCCATCTTCACTTTGCTCCTTTCCTACTTTTTTCTTTCCCTTTCCCTTGGCCTCAGATATTTGTATGATCACATCTGAGATAATAAACACTATGCATAAGGTTACACAACATTTTTAACTGGAATGATATTTCCTGTGTTAATATTTAGCACGTCAGCAAGTGGAATCGTTACTGCACCAGGTAGTTCAAGGATCTATGATTTTGTCAGTGTTCTATTAATAAATGTTGTTTCTTCCCCCACTCAACAGAATGTAAGCACTTTGAAGGCAGACTACTCTCTCACATTTGTCTTTGTACCCCTAGAGTCTGGTACACAGTAGGTGCTCAATAAATGCTTATTGAAGGATAAATTGATTGTTACTGTTTTTATCAGGTATTATATAAAAAAAAATATTACCCTGAAGTCTACAGGGTGATGACGAGCCTCTTTGGACTAAATTAGCTAGGCTAAATTTTGAGTAATGGCCATACCCTTTGACATAATGTAACTCAAGCTTTCCCAGATTGGTAGGGCACACTACAGCTCCTGTTCTGTTGGCACAGACTTCAAGAACTGCTCCATATTCATGCCAGGACAAAGCATCAGAATAAGACTTTGGTAAAGAAAGTGAAGCCCCAGAATATTAAAATGAGAAGAATGGAGGGAAAAGATTCATGACCACAAATCATTTGCCAAAAGAGTCTTTTACAAAAATGCAGCTGAAGGGTAGACCTCGGCAATCTTTTTTAAAGTAACTACCTACCTCTTTCCCCCGTTGAGGGTCCTTCCTCTTCCTGGAAGCCTCTTTTTATAGGTTCTAATGTGTCCCCTTTGGGGAGGACTGTATTTTAAACTTCCCCCTCTAAGCATGTTTTTGTAAGTATTTTTAAGTTAGTTCCTTAGAGTTTCATAAAAACGCTAGGTGCTAAGGCACTCATTCTCCCGATTAGAGGCTCAGATGCTAGAGACACCTATTCACTGTTAGAGCCTGCAGCTGGTGCGTAAGGCCTCCCAATTTTCATTCTAAAATTCTTTTTACTCTGCCTACATGGAAGGTTATTTCTCCTAGGGCAGGGGTTCTTAACACAGAGTCTACAGATAGTCAAGGGATCTTTGAACTTGGAAATGCATCTTTCCTTAAGTGCTTTGTTTTCTTAAAAGGATTCAGTGAGTCTATGGTCTTCACCTATTAACCAAGGATGAGGAGGGATACGAAAAATGAGCACCGTCTCATCCAGCCTCCATCTCTGAAAACAATAGGTTTTAGGGGCCAGAGCTCTTTTCCTTGAGCTGCAGTTGAGCGTTGCCTTCAATAATGAACGTAGGCAACAAACCACAGTAGTATCAGCAGTATCTGTACCTACCAAAGGGATCCAAGACACAAAAAAAGGTTAAGAACCTCTGTCCTAGGGATATTTGCATTTTAACAGACTGCCTCAAATGTTTCAAAGTCTTGGAGCTTATCCAAAGGAATAAATCTCTAAGACTGGTTGTCATCCTTCATTCTCAGAGGACCAAAATGGCATCACTATGTCAGGGTCATCAGACCAACCTGAGCTCGAAATGTTCTACCACAGGTCGGGCACAAATAGTCCATGGGAACACTGGGGGTGGATTCTCTAAATCTGTGTATCTCATGTTTCTTTTGAGCTATTTCAATTCTGCTTTGCTCATAAAAGATAGTGCCTTCTCTGATGTGGTCCTGTGCCAGTATCTCCCATGTCACACAAACAACTCCAAAATTGTTGTTTTTTTTCCCCCGCCCCCTAGGCAATCAGGGCTAACCGACTCCTAAACATGCAAAGTTTCTCTTTCCTCAGGATCCCCAAACTCCAAGTTCTATTTTATTTATTCCAAGGGGAGTGGAATTAAGAGAGGGAAAAGATAAGTCTGCCCATTTAAAAGACCAGAAGGTTAATACACCAAACAGGGAAAGTGTAGCATCATTTAAAAAAAAAAAGCAGCACCCTACATAAAGAAAGCAAAGTTCCATACCTCCTAGCCCTGTCTGTTTCTCTTCGGGCTTCTTCTTTATTCTGGCTCCTGGGGAAGCAGTAAGCAAGAGCAGCAGCTGATGAGGCCCAACCCCAGTATTATCTTCACCTTATTGCCTCTGAAAGCGGGCAATTGGAGGAAAGTTCAGCATCATCCACCATAGGCTCTCATTTCCTGCCTTTGTGTACTCTGTTCCCAATGCTTTCATTGCCTGCTTCCTCTCTTCCTACTGAATTCCTACTTAATTTTTAAAGTCCAACTGAAATTCAAACTCAGGATCTCTCCAGTTGGTAATGACTTTTCCTTATCTCTTACCATGAACAGAATTCAGCCCCCTTTTGGCTCAATTATGCATTATTTTATATCCATATCCTCCTACTACATTGTAAACTGTATGAGGGCAAATCTAAATTTTACACTTGCTCCAGCACCTACCTGGCACAATGATTCATACAAAGCACTTATCATCATAGATCTAGAATGAGAAAAAGACCATAGAGGCTCCCCATTCATTTCCTGCTGTGATGTAAGCTCCTGGACAGCAGGGACTATTTCATTCTCGTATTTGTGTTGCCTTTGCTTAGTGTAGGGTCTGGCATATAGTAAGCTCTTAATAAATGTTTGTTTATTAATTACACATGAGGATAATGAGGCCCCAGGGGTGAATCAACTTGCCAGAAGATAAAAAGGAGTAATCAAAGTATGGTTTTGAACCCACATCTTCTGACTCCCTTCCCTGGCTAAGTCTGTTCATCTCCACATTATACATCTGGGGATCCTTTAACCAGTAATCATTTGCTATGAACTCAAGGATATTCACCATCTTCATTGCTTTTAAGAATTGCAGTATCCATTCACAAGTCCACCAATAATGTATGTGTCTAAGATTGTTCTACCAGTGCCTATTTTACCATAATCCCTGTAACATTTATCATTTCCTTTTTCTAATTATTTTTGTCAA